AAAACTGTTGACAGGATTCCTTTTATGGAAGATGTCTCTTCTTATGTTCTCGTTCATCTGAATCTCCTGCATCAACTAAATTTCTGTTTTCTTTCAACATTTTCTTCAGTTTATCCTGCCAAAAAAGAAAAAAGTGATCCTATTTAGAATTAAGAAACAATGCAACACCTACTCAGTGGTCTTTGATTTGTAAAATCCATAAGTTGAAAAAGTACCTGTAAGAACTTCTTCACAAACGGAACGACCACCAAGCGATACTCTACCTCCGATAGCTTTGGGAATACGTCTATTAGCTTTTCGTACTTAGATTCGTTCAGCAAAATCTTCGAGTCAATCAAATGGAACTGCAAAAAATCAAAAGCTAAAACTTCTTGTTTGAAATGAATATAAAGAAATTAGATGAAGAAGAAGAAGAATTAATACCTCCTTCTTTAGAGATTTTCTTAGCGTCAACATACTTTTTTTGATAACATCATTTGGGAGAGTAGTAGAGAATTTGGGTATACACTCCATATTCTCTAATGCTTCAAATCTTGGAGAGTTTTGTCCTTCAAAAACATCTCTTACAACAGTCAAGAAGAAACATTTTGTATCATCATCATCATCATCATCTTGCTTTACTACAAGCTGATTCTCACATTCCTCCAGAAGAGCAGACTCATATGTGCTCCGCTGATTAGCATTCTTCCTCTTGTCTTCTCTGCCGCAAATGGTCTCAACCTCACCCAACATCTTATCATAAGTTAGCATCTTATGTCTCTTAACATAGTAGCTTTCCTTTTTCCTATCCATGCACCGTACTATACTCAAAACTGCAAACCATAATATCTCACGATTGTGTAAGCCCTTTGCCATTTGAGACACAAATTCAGGATCAATTTCTTGGCAGTCAAGAATCCAAGAGACCATCCTATCACCCGTCCCTATCTTATCCAATTCAAGATCGATGCTTTCCTTGACCTGTGAATTTCCCCAAAGCTTATTAACTACTTTTGAAACCAAACTTGCGCGAACATCAGTTGTGAGCTGTCTAAAATACTTGAGGATGTGTTCAAGGTGCTTACGATCTAAGAAACAGATGCACTGAGGGTTCTCATAAAAGCTACACATATCAAGATAGCATCCAGGGACTCCAGGTAGGTCCAGATGCTCTTCTGTGTAATCTATCAACCACTCCCAAAGGGTACATGAAAGAGTAGGGTTGTCCTTGTGGCAAGAGGATTTAAGAAGCTCAGCAAACTGTTTGAGTGTGTTTTCCCGCTCTTCATCCTCAGCCACAGGCCAATCGCTACACCATCCATTAACATAAACAAACACTTCCCCGCGTTTGATTCTATCCATAATCAGATTTGTTGCCGTTGCTGCATCCAGAGGCTTCCAGTCCCCATAAGAAATCATGTCAGCTAAAACCCCATCCACATACTTAGGGCGAGCACTGAAATCACCGGGTTCATATCTCTGCACATGGCTATCTAAGATGTGCATCTTGCAATCTGTAAAACTGTAGTTTACCTGAGAACAAACGAGGCACATCCAGCATCTCTGATTAGCCATAGCCATGGTGGCCGGTACACATTTCTGAAAATGTTCTTTAACTTCCATCCCATGCTTATCCTGTATATAGCCTAAGAGTTGTTCAAATTCTACCACCAAAAAATCACTTTTTGTCTTGTCATCCAGCTTATCCCAAATGTTCTTCAATCGATTAAAACAAGTACTAGTACGTGTATCAGCAACAACAACACTAGTCACACTCTCATCTTCTGTTGAAACAACATGTATCAAGTCGTCGTCAAGTTTTTTCATCATCTCGTCCGTAGACTGTCCTTGAGACATTGAAAAAGCATCGAGAGAGGCAAACAAGTATAGGCGTCTGATGTCGTTGGTGATCTCTGTTTCTTCTGCTAGCTGATACAAGATATGACCTTGCAGTTCGTGGTGAACATTGCAGCATTCCTTCTTCCCATGATCTGATATCGTTTTATCAGTTATCTCCAAGGCCTTTACACCGTTACCTTCGCTCCACAAGTCCTTGGCAAGATTGTATGCATCCTCAATCTTCTTTTTTGTTTCTTTCTCACAACTGTTCGTCGAGGGACTCGGCATTTTCTCGAGAAAATTGTGGTGGTGATGAATGATAAAAAGAGAATAGAGATTGAGAGAAGATTTTATTGATTTTTAGAGATTGTGTTCTAAGCTTCGGCTGCGTCCCCTTTAAAAAAACCTAACATTATATTGAACCGGGATCAATTGTAAATTAAACCAAGACCAAATTGCATAAAAGATAGAGATGATGACGACTAAGGATCGAGAATCCTGTTAATTAGTTTCTTTGACGTCCAAAACGACTAAGTTATGTCAAACATATGCTATTTAGATACAAATCATGAACAATTATGACAAATCAAATGGTATTTCACCTTGGCTTTAATTGAAGGCGTTATGATGCAATGCTAAACTCATCAAATAGAAAGTCTGATCATCAGCTTTGTTTAAACTCTAAAGATGACCAGAATATCTACCTAAAGAATCTAACATTGCATCATCACCTTAAATTAAAGCAGAAGCTACAAAAAGAATGTATAAAGGAACATCATCTTTACACACAAACATATACAGACTAGTTTCAGTGTCCTTTCACACACAGAAACATATACAGTATATATGTGCATCTGGTTTGGTTTCAAAACAAACTACAGATTTTCAGACTAGTTTGTCTCTCGAATCCAAAGTTTTTCCGATAACATAAAAGACTGTTTTCTAGACAACTCATACTCTTACATTTTTCTCCATCTGCAAGAATGATTTCTCCAAACTTTTAGCCCTGCAGGCTGCATCAATAACATAACTCACTTCAACTTTAAAACAACAACAGCAGAACAGCAATTGTTGACATGATTTGTTTGGTTAGGTCTTTTACCTTATTTTAAAGACGACTCTTCTTCCCTTCTCGTTCAGCAGAATCTCCCGCAGCTACTGAACTACTATTTCTTTTCATCACTTTTACCAATTTATCCTGCCAGAAAACAATTAAAACTGGAATTAAGAAACAATGCAAATCCAACTGAGTGGTCTTTCATTAATAAAATCCACAAGTTGACAAACCTGTAAAAACTTCTTCACAAACGGAAGGACCACCAAGCGATACTCAACTCCCGATAGCTTTGGGAATACGTCTATTAGCTTTTCGTAATTAGATTCGTTCAGCAAAATCTTCGAGTCAATCAAAACGAACTGCAAAAAAATAATCTTCTGATCAGCCGTCACATATCAAAAAACTTGTTGAAATGAATAAAACGAAAGAAGAGGAAGAAGATTACTTTCTCTTTCAGCGATTTCCTTAGCCTCAATAGACTTTCTTTAACATCATCATTTTCGAAAGTGGTAGAGAGTCTGGATATACACTCCATATCTTCTGAAACTTCAAATCTTGGAGACTTTTGTTTTTCAAAAACATCTCTTACAACACTCAGGAAACATTTGGTATCATCATCATGCTTTACTATAAGCCCCTCACACTTCATCTGAAGCGCAAACGCATATTTTATCCGCTGATTAACATTCTTTCTAGTGTCTTCTCTGTCACAAATCGCCTCAGCCTCACCCAACATCTTCTCATAGGTTAGCATCTTATGTCGCTTACCATAATAGCTTTCACGTTTCCTAACCATGCGACGTACTATTCTCAAAGCAGCTAACCATATCTCACGATTGTGTATGCCCTTTGCAATTTGAGACACAAGTTCTTGGTCGATTTCTGGGCAGTCAAGAACCCAAGAGACCATCTTATCACCCTTAGGTATCACATCCTTATATATTCCAGTGGATTTACAATGCTCTACTGTCCCTATGTTATCAAATTCAAGCTTTTCTTCATACAGCAGTCTCTTGTCCAGAAGCAGATTATAAGTAGTTACTCCCTCAAGATCAATTCTTTCCTTGACCTGGGAATTTTCCCAGTACTGATTCACTACTTTTGAAACCAAACTTGTGCGAACATCTGTGGTAAGCTGTCTAAAATATTTGAGGATGTACTCAAGGTGCTTAAGATCTAAGAAACAGATGCACTGAGGGTTCTTAAAGAAGCTACATTGATCAAGATAGCATCGACGGACTCCAGGTAGGTCCAGATGCTCTTCTGTGTAATCTATCAACCACTCCCAAAGGGTACATGAAAGAGTACGGTTCTCCTTGGGGCAAGAAGATTTAAGAAGCTCAGCGAACTGTTTGAGTATGTTTTCCCGCTCTTCATCCTCCGCCAGAGGCCAATCGCTACACCAACCATTAACATAAACGATCTCTTCCCTGCTCTTAGTTCTATCTTTGATCAGATTTGCTGCCTTTGCTGTATCTACAGGCTTCCAATCCCCAGAAGATATCATGTCAGCCAAAACCCCATCCACATACTTAGGGCGAGCACTGAAGGCAGGTTCAAATTTGTGCACATGGCTATCCAAGATGTGCATCTTGCAATCAGTAAAACAGTAGTTAACCTGAGAACAAATGTGGCACTTCCAGAATCTCCATCGAAGATTATTGGCGATGGGTACACATTTCTGAAAATGTTCTTTAACTTTCGTCCCATGCTTATCCTGTATATAGTCTATAAGTTTTTCAAAGCCTACTACCAAAAATTCCCTTTTGGTCTTGTCATCCAACTTAACCCAAATGTTTTTCAATCGATTAAAAGATGGATCTTCCTTCCCCAGTTCTTTCTGATTAGCCATAGTACGTGTAGCAGGAACAGGCGCAGTAACAGTCTGATGCATCTTCTGTGTTGCTGCAACATGTATCAATTTCTGAAGTTCTGTCATCATCTTGTCAAAATAGCCTACCTCCGTAGAGTGTCCTTGAGGTTGGGTTATGGACAATCCCGGCTTTGCTTTAGACACATTCTCATAAAACTTGTTTACCCCAAGCTGATCACCCAACTGGATTAGCGAACGAGCATAGCCACGAAAGGACCTTAGAGAGTTAGGAGACAGAAGAGTAGCCATTGAATATGCATCGACAGAAGCAAACAAGTAAACGCATTTGACGTCGGTGTTATCTGTTTTCAGCGCTTGGCTATAGAAGATATCACCTTGCAGTTCGTGGAGACCAAAGCACTTTTCGTGATTCCCATGCTCTGAAATCGTTTTCTCGGTTATCTCCAAAGCCTTAATGCGGTTTCCCGAATTCCAGGAGTCTCTGGCGAGTTTGGCTGCATCGTCGAGCTTCTTTCTTGTTTTCCCGTCGTCACTTTTCTCTGATCTCGTCTCCATCGGGAGCTAAATTTCTCGAGAAAATGGTCTGGCTCTTCAAAGAAAATGATTAGCTTTTCTTGGGAGAGAGTAAATTTGTGTTTGCGAGATAAAACAGAGCAGAGACGTTTGATGCAACTGTTGTTGGTTGAGTTGAGCTGAGCAGAGCACCCAGAAACGGTCAGGTGCAAGGCACGTGAGAGACTGAGAAAATATTAAAGTTCACTTTTTTAAAAGGCCTCTTACGGGGACATTTCGTCGAGCACCTAGCGTGCGCTCCAGGGTTCGTAGATTAATCTGACTTTGATCGCTACTCCTCTGACCACTCTCATCTCTATGAACCTCTTCTTGCTGCACACTCAAACACACATAGTAGTACGCTATACAATGTAGGAAACACTATGGATTTCATCTCTACTGAGGAATCTCGGGTTTTTATGGTGTTGTCTTGATTTCGATCTTCTTTGGAAGATATGTACATGCGGAGGAGTAAGATAGATAAAGAGAAATGGAGAGAGTAATTACATAATATATATTCTCCACTTGTCTTTTAAATTTTTAATCAATCAAAAACTTTAGTAGATAAAATGTTGCAAAGAATTAAATATTAAGTCTCAAGAAATATGTAGAGTCTCTCTATGGATTTTCATAATTTATGAAAACATGAGAAAATGGGTTACTAGTTACTACGACTAAAGAACTAACTTGCCTAATCTGGCCAGGTTCATAATCTTGACATCGAGACTGTCATCTAGCCTAACTATACCCTCCGATCCGTCTAGACCAATGACCTTAGCTGTTGAACCACCATATTTGCCTCCAAGAATCTTCACACGTTCGCTCTTCCTCGGACTCACTAGCCTCACTTCGCTTTGTGTCGCCATTACCTTCTCGCCTCCACCTCTGTATCCAAGAGCTACTATACAGGACCCATCCTGATGACCAAAATTATAGCAAAGGAACAAGAGTCTTACATAAACAGTACTAAAGTGAAAATGTTACTCCAATCTAACATTCCTGATCTGTGTATTATATTCTTAAATGAGGACTAACCGGAAGAACATCTCGGATGACGCCAGGATTTCTACCCTCTCCAGCCTTGTGTACATTGACCAAAATACCAGGCATGAACCTTGTTTCTGCGTCCCCATCTGGTCGAGTTTAAGAATATGAGAACCAAAAGCTCTTCTTATTAATTTGAAAGAACTAAACAGGGTTTGAGAATCATAACACCAACTGTGTAAAATAAGAAACAGGCACCTATATCAGGAGACATGACATCAAGATCGGTTCCAGGTGTCATTGGTTGTTGCCCTCCGGGAGTGTTAGCTAGGTATGAAGCCGAGCTTGGTGTCATAGGACTTGGGGCATTAGCTGCATGAGAGACAATTTTGTGAGATGAAGATTCGTAGAAGCAACAAAACCGTCAAGGCATAAGTGGGATACAGAACCATTGCTTATTGGTGTTCCAGCATCACTGTAACTACTACGACTAGGAGTACTATTAGCCCATCCTGATCCAGGTGTAGCTGCGTCATATGGACTTCCAGTCTGGGAGGCAAAGGATTAAGTGAATTTCAATTAGTAATCGCCACAAATCTATGTCAGAGATGGATTCTTACATGATACTGTGAACTTGTTCCCCATGATCCCGGATTCCCATCTTCCCAGCTATCCCTGAAACATAACAACTATAGTTTGAGACACTTGCTCGAAATATTTATGGGAGCCATGTTGTCCTTATAAAAAACGTACCTATGAGGAGTCATAGGCATGTAAGGATTCCAAGCTTTACCACGCATAGGTGTCCTCATTCCATCATGGATAGGTGTAGCTGCAGTTTTACATAAACTTTTCAGCTTAGAATGAAGACAATAAAAAATGAAATAAAATAGAAACAAATGATTTGATCTTGAAACTTTGAAATAACTAAGGTAACAAACCTCCAGAATCCCGCATCGGAGTCATACAAGGACGAAGTGGAGTCCGGGAAGGATGTAGAGTAGTTTGGCTTCCCATATTATACTGAGAGGGTGTGGCTACATTATCGGTTATATCCGATATTGCTTCCCGATCAACTGTACATACAAGGAGAGTTAGAATTCATTCAACATGCAGCAACCAGTGAAGAGAAGTGAAAAACAGTGGAACTTGCCTGTCACAATCTTTGCCTCGAGTTCCACACGGACTGTCTTCTCTTTGACTTCAACTAAACGCCCCCTATATCCCTTGAAAGGCCCCAGACGAATTTTCACATAAGTACCCACCAAGAGATTGTCATCCCTTCTTTCACCCCGATGTCTCCCTCCAGCTCCAGCTCCAGCTCCAACTGCAATAAAAAAATGCATTACGCACAACCGTTTTAAACTAAATCTATTTTTCAAACTAGATCACTGATCTAACCAAAGTTGTAGTACAAGTCATACAAAGCGGAATCACTCCCTACTTTAACATCTAAAAATCAGTGGACCAGTCAAGAACAAAGAGATTAACCAAAAGAATATGAAGAAATCTGACATACCGTTGTATCCCATGTCTGCCCCTTGACATCTTCTTGGAGATGGCGGAACCTGTCCTGGTGTCTTTAAACTACCAAACTTTGAGAAGGAATCAACCTAGAGTATAACAGTAACAAAAAAAAATGAAGCGTTTGCCGAATTTAGAAAAACGATAGCCAAACATGCTAAAAGAGGCTTACAATTCTGTCTGCGCCAACAAGAACACAAGATGAACTTTTAGTGCAGATAAATCCAGTGTGTTCAAGGTTATGCCGGTCATGTATAAACAACACTCCTTTGTAGATTTTCACCACTGGACCTTGTTTACCCTATCACAAGTAAATAAATTGGTATAAGATTCGTAGATAATAATTAAAGAGTTTGTTAACCCAAAAACGACCAGGCTGCAAAGAGACTCACTTTGCTAGGACCCTCAATGACCTTGACAACATCTTTCACCGTGATGACCTTTTTGTAACGGTCTTGCGCATTGGTTTTTCTCATAATTTTGTATTTTATTTCGCTGGCTTTGACAATTGCGACCTCCGGCCTGTCAGGAACCCCTTTGAGAATCTAGAATAAACCAAAACAGAGTTACTGCAAATCTTGAAATAAACAAAAAACATTATAGGATTGACATGTTGACTAGTTGCGCTTGTATGATTGTATCCACATGAAATTGGTAAGTTACCTGGATAGCTTCACTATCAAGTTTTATGATTACTCCAAAGCTCAAGTCACTGCATCATGTAATATTAAGCTCTCATACACATAAAAAGGGTATCACTTAAAGCTGGTTGGGAAATCAACTTACCTTAGAAGCACAAGATCATGCAGTTCATGATATCCAATTTTTGTGACACCATTAGTCACTTCTTCACTCTTGACGACATGATCAGCGAAGACACGAATCTGCATACAAATATAATCCTCATGCGTTTAATTACCCTTTTCAGAAATTAACACACAACTTAAACAAAAACTGCCTTACATGTTCTTTAGTTGTATCAGACAGAATGATAAGCATATGCTGATCAACTTTGACAACCATGCCAGTTGCTCCTTCATTAATTCCAGACACAACTTTCACAAAATTTCCAGGTTCAAAGTATTTGCAAAGCTCTCTCTCATTTACAGCAAGAGGATTCTGCAACATTAGACTTTTATACTTGCTGCAATATTTGATCAGCATATATATTGTTCATGAATATATGAAGAGTTTGGAAACTTACAGGAAGACCTTTCATCTCTGATCTGATAAGAACATTCTCTTCATCTACTTTCTCAATCCAACCCTTTAAGTTTTTTAGATCACCCTTGATAACGATAACCGCATCACCTTTCATGAAATGACCCTTCTTTCTATTTGCAAATAAAGTTGACAGATCAGCAAAGTCGATCTCCCCATTTTCACTTGATCTCTTGAATCTTTCAAGTTCATCGACAGTTGGTGTAATATTCTGAGCAACAATCGACTTTGTTGATACTTTCTTGTAGAGAAACCCATCTTTGAAAAGCATATTATCTATATTTTCAAAGTAGTCACCAGTCATTGTATCACGCCGGTGCTCAACACGTATGTGAAGTTCCCTAAATTCCCGTTACAAATATTGACAAATTCATAAATCATAACCCAAAAGCACAATAATTGCATATAAAATGCAGGAACTAGTTTCACACTTTCACTAGAAAGCTGCGACAGTACCTTGCCTCATCAATGTTCATGAAACGTGGAGGTGGAGCAAAATCTTTCTTCTTGACATTCTCTCTTCCCTCCTACATATACCCAAACCCAAGTAAGATGTGCCACAAAAATCTTATAGTTTAGAAGCAGGACGCTCATCTTAACAGACAGAGTTTAAACGTAACAAGTATTATTCACAATACCAGCATTTGTCACACTTTAAAACATTGAAAAGGTTCTATACCAGCTTATTGGCTAGAGCCTGCAGATCAATTCTTGGTATCAATTTGACTGTGACCCTCTTACGCACATTATCAACATCAACTACCTGTAGCAAAACATACCTTTCAGCAAGGTTCAAAGAAGCCTAAACACTTACAAACACACATGAAAAATGGATGTTACCTGAGCTAGATCACCCTTATATATCCCGAGTTTCATTCTAACCCACGTATCCCGGGATAGATCGATTGCTTTACTTTCAACAGCAAGAACATCAGTCATTTCTTTTATGGGGACAAGTAAAATCTTATGATAAGCAAAAATATTCCGCATTCCTTTGATAGCCTACACCACAAGAACAAGAATCAACATAAGACATCATCAAACAATAGTCAGAACATCTCAAAAGAATAAAAAATTATGCAACAGGGAAGAACCATCAAATACCTCTTTCACGTGAGCTTCCTTATCCGCTTCAATATAAATGTAGTTCTGAAGATGATCAAGAGCAATAGCAGATCTGATCTTGAACTCTGATTCTCTATCTATGATTTTTTGCATAAGACAAACAGCAACTTCTCTCTCACGGCCAATCTATATATAATGATGAATGGGACACATGAACAAAAAAAAAAAAAAGAAGAATCCAAGTGAAACAGAGAAGAAGAAGAACGAAATCATACCGCACATTTCACCAGCCACAATTTTGGGTCACGAACAGATGGCAAAAGAGCTTGTTGATCAACTTCGTTAACCTCTTCGAGCTCATAATCATCCTGTGCATGCATCCTAGATAACCTTGCTATATATCTCTTCTCAAAGTCGTCGACATCTTCTTCATGATCAGGATTAAACCTCCGTTGGTAAAATTGCCTACGATCATCAGCATCCTCAGTGGGAAGGTCAGTTTCACCACTTACAATAAATTCTGAAATTCAAGGAGACGAGTTTTGTGAATTTTTTATTCTAGCTCTCACAAATCCATAGAACAAGCCAAAAAAAAAAAAAAAAAAAAAAAACAGGATCTTCCAATTCAAATCAAGAAATCAATTTTCATAAAAGTCCCCAGCTTTACTTACCATTATCCTCTACCTCTATATCATTATCGTCGTCTTCGACATCGTCATCGACCTCGACCTCCCAGTCTATAAACGCGGAACCCGAAGTCTTCTTTTTACTCCCTCCCCGACGACCATCGGAACCAGAATTTGATCTTCCCCTTTTCTTCCCTGAGCTTCCCTTGCGGCTACTTCTGGGCTCATATTCTTCTTCCTCCTCCTCCGAATCATCGTCAGAGGTATAATCTTCGTCTTCGTAGTGATCATCATCAGACATGGCTCGGTTGCAGAAACTTAGGGTTCGGATTAGAAAATACCCAAATCCGCAAAACCGCGATATCTCTACGCTCTTACTCAGAGAAGAAACCCTAGAAACCTAAAGAATCGAAAGGTGGCAACTCACTTTTGGATTTCTCGCTAAATCGCAACTTCCTAGTATCAAAATCGTTACTCTGCCCGCTTAAGTGCATTGTTGTGTTCTTATATATACAAAATCAAATATTTTGGTATTCCCATTTTGCCCTTTCTGTTATTTGGCCGACTTAACTTTATTTGTGGTTCACTAAGCATAACTATTCCGGTTTACCAAATTATTCTAACCACATTTATAATTCAATTCGAACCAAATTAATAACTTTCTTCAACGGTTGAACCAATAACTACTAACAACAATTAATATCCTCCTAAATTCCTAATTAACAAAACAATGGTCGAGACAAAAGCTTAGATAAACAAGCCAATTCTGATATGGTTTTGTACTAAGACACTAAAGAAACGAATCTACCACGGCTATGGATTGTATGTTTGTTTATTGATCAAACAACGGACCAAATACAAATCTTGCTGCACACATAATAATATTATAAGATCCAAAACTCATGCACAAACCACTAATCTGATTTAACATATGATTTAGAGTATCCAAGAAAAAGAAAGAACGATATTGAAAACGTTGGTGCAAGAGAATTACCGGGCAAATCTCCTTTGGCAGAGAGCTCATCACCACAGACATTTATGCATTATGCAAGAATGGGAGTGTAATAGATATCTGCCAAGGGTGATCTTGCCCTGTAATGCATTTACACCTTATCTTTCATCTCCATCTCTAACTACTAAAATAAATAGGTTTGTAATTGGTGTTTATATACAACATTGCAATAAGCATATTCAGTGGTACAATCCTTCCCGATCGATGCAAGAATAAAATCTCTCTCCCTTACGTACGTATAATTTAATCTCCTAAGGAATAATCCTCTCTAGCTATGCCCCTCCGAGATTTTACGGTCATGCATTATCTCTTGAGTATTCTTATATTCGAGTCACACCGAGTTTTGTTCTACTTTACTTGATTACTATAAGTTTTAACTACATAATATTTAAACAGTTAAAGATATTACAAAAGATGATTAAAACTTCAGAATTAATTAATCTTTTGACTTGCCAAAAAGTTTGACATTGACAACTTGTAAAGGTTTATACTCTAAAAAAAATGGAAGATCCATGGTATTGTCCTCTCCATGTTTTTATTTTGAACAAACATCACAAACTATTGTTTCCTCTCTTTTTTGTGCAATGTTAAGTTTATTTACTTGATGTAAGTGAAAAGGGTTTATATTTTCACCCACTAGGATGAGGAAAAGGCTCACAAAATTAAATTGGCTTGAAATTATAAGGGTTTTAATCATTTTCCACCTCTTCCTCTTCTAATTACTTTAGGTTGTTTACTAGTAGTTGTAGCTTGTATATTGGAAGTAGAGTTTTCGGTTAATCATGCCACCATCATCCATTGCAAACGCTCAAGCAAATGAAACTTTTGAGTTAAAGCGATTTGAAATATAATAAAATACACTTGTGCAACCACAAACACATAGTGCTTGTGAGCGACTGCAAATGAACAAATCAACCTCTACGTGGTCGGTCGGTCCATTTGTATATTGTGTAGTTATATAGTTACAAATTTTTCTCTTATTCATGGAAAATAGTTAAACTTTAGAGAAGGTTAAAGTACGAATATTGTTGTCATTATATAAAAGTTAAGTCAACTTTACTACTGTGGTATAGAGTCTTATTTTAATTTAAACTGGCCAATTAGTGTGTAGAATATAAATTCGAACAGTGCTTTGTCTTTTTCAAACGGTCATGCATGCATATGCATATATCCTATTCTTGTAGCACCTTTTGAGATTTTGATTTAGCTTGAAAAGGCCAAAGATCATAGTTATATGCTCTGACAGCGCATATTCAGTAAGTATATCCAACTACAACAAAACATTAGCTTGCATGCTATTGTACTTGACAATTAGCTATTTGACAATGCGCGCATACATATAATTATAATTAATTAAATTGGCTCTAGATTAGCATAATAATAACCACAAGAGAGATGTCGCGAATGAGGGGATATGGCCAAATGTATAGTTCGAAAAATCTGTCGTAGAAACATGTTAGATTTCTAAGTATTTTATGGTGATAATCGTTAACCGCTAAATCTCTCTAACTTGAGTTTTGAACTTGAATTAAGCTTTCATTGCCTAAGTGTGTGAATTAATTAAATCCTCTATCGAAGAGATAAGGTTCGAACCAAATTACAAAAGATTTGTTTCTGAAGAGACTCTAAATAAAATAAAATCATCAACATTTCTCAAACCTTAACTATATGATAGTGCATGTCAAATAACACTATCGAATTAAAAATATTGTATAGTAGACTGGACAATGGAAAATTGAATAACAGTAGAGAAGAATTGCGAGGCAAATCTCCTTTGGCAGAGGATGATGATGATGAATAAACTATAAAGAGTCATCAAATTCTCCTGCCAATAGAGGATTCGCCCTGTAATGCTTTCTACCAAGAAATCATCTTTGTACATACTTCGCTCTCTCACTTGATGGCTTCAAAGGAAACAAACTCAAATTCTGTAATGTATATATAACCCTCAATGTAGAGAGCATATGCTATGGAACAATTTCCTCTCAAAACTTGGTATACCATTTACTAGCAATGTATTCGCAAGACTTGAAAAAACAAAAGCTTGGTATATCAAGAAAAAAAAGGTTAATTGATGAAATCAGAAGCATGAGGACCGCATGATGAGAGGGCTTTAGGATTACACTAGACACATATGCTCTCTATGAAACATGGGATGTGCCAGAGAATATGCTTTCCTATACGCATTCACTATATAGAAACACACTTTCATCAACTATATAAATATGTACTTTGCTAGTCCAACTTATAATAACTCAAGATGCATGTGTGCAAAAAAAAAAAATCAAGAAACATATGAAATTGTATTGAAGGTACATGTTTGTGAAGACAGAGAAATAATGTATGGTTGGATTACTGGGCGAATACTCCCATGGCAGATGACTTTGGCATTGGTAGAGTCTAGAGATGCAAAGCAAAATGCTCTCTGCCAAAGGAGATTTGCCCCGCAATTCATCCCATGCAAAATCTTTTCATCATCTCTATGCAAGTTTTGTTTATTTTTCTTGGCCATACCATGCGCGCGAGGTCTATGTTGGTGAGTGTCTCTCAAAAGTATTATGCATTACTTTAAATGTTTATTATATGTTATGAACTGATGATAATGTCTTAATTTCCCTCTTTTATACAAATATTTTTTTTATCCTTTTTTCAGAACATATAAATAAGTATGTTTTTTCATTTGAACATGAAATTTCACGTGTCTTCAATCCTAGTAAAAATGAGAGAAGGCATGAGTAGTCACGTGATTAGATGCATCATGCAAGGCAAGCTCTCTACAATTCTTCCCGGGTTTGCAAATGGTTATCGGAGAATAGCACAATCGTTGACTAAGATTCTTAAAATGGTACTACGACAATCTTCTTTCATCACTGTTCTTACGAATTTTTGTCAAGCAAGCTTTGAGTTCCCCATAGATTTGTCATCCTTTATCATTTTATAGGTTTGGAGTTGGACAAACGAAATTGATGTTTATGGTAACATTAACCATGATATCTTTACTAGCCCAATGGGCAATATAAAAGCTTGTCTATGTTTGTATGTAAGGCCTATATAATTAGATCTACCATATTGGCCCCAAAATAAGGGCGTGTGAAGAGGCCATGATGATGGATGAAATTGCCCTTTCTTTCAGAGATGGATGCAAAAACAGGTCTCACGAAGTGGTTTTGTTCTATCATAGTAAGACTCAAAACTCTCAAATGTTTACTTGTTAACTTCTGAATCAGAGTTGATCTAAGAATATAGATTCTATCTATCATCTCATTTCCATATAGTCTAGAGTCAGAATCGAATAATAAAATTACTAGCAGATCATGTACTACTCTTATTCGATCAAGTGTTTTGGTAGTAACCATTAATCTTTTTGAAAAACCAATGAAGCAAAATGATAGTGAGCAGAAAAACCATGAAGATGCAGCAAGATTGTCCTCTTCCACGTCTTCTTCTCTCATCCATTGTATTGTCCCTTTCGCCGCCCCAATCCTCCATCAACCTTACTGTAACATTCTTCGCTGTGCAACCGCATATTTCACATACACTGCCAGGAACAAAACAAAAAGACCGAAAATTTATTATCTTTGAATGAATATTGTACATTAGTCCAGTTCATGGATCAAATCCATACCCTTAGAAAGCTAGTAACACTCGAGGAGAAAATTGAATTCATTACCTGTTCCCTCTTAACTTGAACCAAGCTTCTGCGCAATGCAAATGTGCAAGGCCAAGCTCGTTTTTGCATTTGCAACCAATCTCAATCAAGTCCGGACTTACTGACTTATTATCACCACTAGTGCCCCCCTCAGGTGATTGATCAGAACCAAAATGACAAATCCTGCAGATTCTCTCTCCTTCATCGCTCAAATCAATTGTGTGGAACTCCTTGGCCTTTGCTTTTGAAGTATCATTCTCTGCCTCGTTGCAGCTTACAGCGGTAACATTATCCACAACTTCCTCATGAACAGCAAGAGCTGAAATGTTACTACTACTGTAGCTAACACCATCTTTGGCCACTCTAGAATCATTTTCTCCTCCCTGTTGCAATTTACCCACATCTGCTGCTTCAATCAACACCTTCTTTGTGACAGAGTCACTGGTCTGACCCTGTACATCAGCCTCAAGCACAACATCACTCGAATTCTCAGAAACACTGATAGATTTCGAACAACTTTTGGAGTCCATTTTAACACTCATATATACCCCAGACGAGAAGGGTTTTGATTCAAGTTCCTACAAAGTCCGAGATCCATTAAACCCATCTTAGTATGATTGCATCAGACAAAGAGCAAACATAAATAACATTCCAATAATTGAAAGCCCTATGAGAAACTTAAGTAACTGGTAAATGAAGTTGGAAAGACATAAAAAATCATACCTTACCCAGAATCCAGATCCACCTCAAAAGAGCTCTGGCACAAATAAAGCTACGAACTTTAAGGTTTAGGCAGCGTCAGAGAATCTGGGGAACAAACAAATCTTAAAATTACAAAAAAAAAAAAAAAGGTTTCTTTTTCAGCTTTTTAGGCCTCAGATCTCTCAACAACTGGAGAAATCAATCAGCTTATCATGGCCTCTGGGAAACGTACTGCTCTCTCGTGGCTACAGTTACCTGCAAAAATATCTTAATCAGCTCTGCTCTCTCTCGATTGCAAAGCAAAATTCCTCTTTTTTTTCAATTACTTTAAACTCTCACTTTACGTTTCAATTTTGTCTTTCTATAAAACTCTTTGTTCCACTTCAGGCAGTAAAACTAAAACCCATTTGTATAGAATTAATATGAAAGTACCTTTCTTTGGGTAATAATGGAAGCTAACAGAAGAAAGTTTGGTGAAGATGAGAACAACTAGTATCAACTCTAATTCAAACCAATTTATTAAATATTCCCTTTTTAAGTTATAACATTTATATATTGATCATACAAAAATTAGGAATAAAGTATATACAATGTTAGAATAAATGGTTATTTAGCTAGATTGATAAAAATTCTTTCAATATTGGCAAAACATAAATCAAGCTGTAATTTTTGCAGAAGAATGTGGATTGTAAAACAATCATGTGTCAGAAAATATTAACATCTTATAGAGATATTTTGTAAATTTTAAAGTCTATACTCTTCTTTTTAATGTTGACTAATTTCTTTCATTTAGTTCATATCAATAAATCAAATTTATAGAACAAACAAACTTATATCAATCATTTAGTCATTGACATGTTTTGTATATAATATCTTTGAATATCAAAGTAACTAATATTTGTCTAATGTTTGAATTGTAATAAATATAAATAATAAGCTTATATATATATATATATTTATATGATAAAACATAAATGAAATAAAAAGGAACAAAATCATAGACTTGATATATTTATATTTGTAAGTATATAAATAATCTTAGGAAAAGTAAGAAATCTAGTTAAATGAAATAATATATCTATTATATAAGATCAATATAATTTTATTGTTTTGTTAATAAAAACTTACTATATATTATATAAGTATGCATTTGAATTATTGGTGGTTGTTTTCCAAACAAAAAAAAAAATACAGTAATTCTTGTTGGCCAAATAAAGGTGAACCTACAAAACAGGTAAACCCCATTAAAAGTCCTGAAACATAAAAACTTATCTAGGCAAAAAAAAAAAAAAAAGAAGCAAAAGTGATTGAATCAGTAATAAATGGTGTAGATTGGGAGACACATTTTGGCAGCAAGCTTTAAAGTCTCTAAATGATATTAACCACCCAAAGCCAAATTAGTCTCAGAATAAGAGGATTGCGTAGGAAGTGTTTGATTGTGAAATGATCCAAAATTTGTATTATCTTTTATGCTGATCCTAATGAAGTGGTTGTGATCCAATAGAAAGAAAAAAAAAGAATGATTCTTATAGATTAAATAAAAATTGGGTGATGATAAGTCACACACAAATAAAACAATTCTGAGTACAAGTAAAACAATCTATGAAGGAGGGAAGAAACGGTTGAGGTTGAAAGGGAGAGTGTAGAACTCCTCATTCCTGCTATCTCCTTTGAAAGTTCTGAACTTTGCCCACCAAGGCAACCCTCTGTCTCTCGCGGTATCTTTATAATCCAGAGTGTTGTCCAAGAACACTGCCACCATCAACGCGACCATAGGTGAAGACGAGAAGATTGTGTTCAAGAAATCATTGAACCAACCAGCATTGGTGTGAGCTGGACCATGTAACGCTTGCATGGTGAAGTCTCTGAAGTATTCTGGGATTGATAGTCCTAAGAATAGAGACACACCGACGATGAAGAGATTCCTCAGGGAGTTCATGTTTGTGAACTGCAGAAAAGAGAGTCCAACGGAAGCAACAAGACCAAACAAGACGCAGTACACAGCTGCAAATATCGTGAAAGGTATTGAAGCGAACAGTGCTCCAAATTTGCCTAGCATTGAGAAGAATATCATGAACCCTGCTGAGATTTGGATCACTCTGCGGCTTCCAACTCGGGTACTTCCTAGTAATCCAATGTTCTCTCTGCATAATTTGTAACAATCAAGAAAGCCATGAGATTATCATTGGATTAGTTAGTCCAACTAGTGAAGAAAATGGTATGAAAACATTCAATACTTCCACTTACACAGATACACTTGAACCACTTAGTGTTCCAAATAAACCGTTTAAGAGGATCCCAATGCCTTGCCAGCCAATTCCACGGCTCAGAACATGAGGTGGAGGCGGCGTGGCACTCGCCAGTCTTGCAGCGGCTTTGAAAGCTCCAGTTGACTAATCACAATTCAAAAGATTCTTCTTTTAGGACATCCACATTCATAAGAGGCATTCTATGTTGTGACTAGAGTACTAATCTTGATTCAGAGGTACATTACCTCAATAAGTGAGACAAAAACAGCGGCCATCATAGCAAAAGCATGACCAGCATCAAAGCTAGGTGCTCCCCATTGAAGTGGATAAGGAATCTTGATCCTGATACAAGTCAAGAGAAGCATAAATATATGAGACACTAACAACTATTAGATGTTCTTTATTATACACATCCTAGAGAATGTAAACTAACCAAGGAGCAGAAGAAATGAGGTTAGACATATCGGTTCTGCAGTTTACTTGTGTCTGGTGTGGTCGGTGTTTGTAAGCCCCACTGGCTGTCAAGAGATGTGCGTAAGCCCACACTATGATAAGCGCTATAATAAAAGCAAACCTCTCCACTACTGGGAATTGTCTGAACTGAAAGTTCTTCAGATACTGCACAACAACATAGAGATTATAATATCAGTTAGCTGAAGCATACTCAGAAATGTATTTGGAATTGGATACCATAGGAAAATAACCTGAGAGAAGATGACAAAGAGGATAAGCATGGGGATCCCTATCTCAACACAATTACCAACCTGCAAAGAACAAATACTATAAGATAAGAATGAAAGAGATGATTTTTGAATGTTTAAAGAGAGCAATCACAGTAATGTACCACTGGGAATCCTCTATTGAAGAGTCCAAAACCAGTTAAAGCAATCACAGGAACCATACCAACAGGACTAAAGAATCTGCAATAAAGTAAGATGAAAAACCATTAAAGTATATACCTTTATAGGACAACAAGCACTGAAGTATGTATGTAGTACCTTGAACAGATTCCCCACATCTGGCTGAAACCAAGGATGATTTGAACGCTGGATGCAACTATGATTGCGCCTTGTACTGCTCTCATTGTACTTAGAAATCTCTACATAAATTTCAGATTCAAATTAGTATGGAGTGAGGATCTTCAGAATACTATTCCAAGAGAAGAACAAACGTACCATTTGTGGATCTTCGATACGGGTCAAAGAAGAGTCTTTGATGATTGAAATGATCGGAACCATGAATGCATAAGAGCCTCCGATCACAGCTGGAAGACGAGTTCCAAATAATGTTTGAAGGAGAGTGTTAACACCTTGAAGGAACAGTAGTGTCTGAACAACTCTCACTTTATCACCCTAATCAACGGAAAGGAACAACAATCTCAGTCAGACAAAGCATAACTCACTCACATAGAGATTCTTTGGATTAAGAAACAACATAGCTCACATCATCTCCACCCATCATAGGAACAAGAATTGAAGGTATCATCACTGCAGTTCCTAAAGCCAAAATGTAATGCTCGAAACCTAGAGCTATGGCTTCTCCTGCAAGAACATCATCATCAGGAAAGTGGAAAGCCAATCAATCGATTACAGAGAAATGTTTTCAAGGGTCGTACCCCATGGCGGGTTTGAGTCAATACAGTACTCTAAACCCTGAAGCTGATCCATTGGTGGATGGCTTATCTCCTCTGGCTTTACAGGATCCATGACTCTTCAGAGTACCAATGTATTCAAAAGTCTTTTTTTTTCTTGATCAACAACAATCTTCTACTTATGAGCTCAAGAATCAGCTAAAGAATCAGGAAAACTGAAAGGAACAGATTGAATCAAAGAAATGACTGAGAAAACAAGAACTTTGGTTGATTTAAAATCAGAAAGAAAAGAAAAGTTGTGTGAAAGATTAAAAAAGAAAGAAAGAGACAAGGCAAAGTGAAAAAGCTACTCTTTTTCGAAGTTGCAGCTGAGTTAGAAGAGAGCTTTTTGGTAGTGGTGGAGATGGTGATAGCTATGGAATTTTATTACATATATATATATGAAATGGGACAGTGAAAGGTTGAGAAAAAAGGACCGTTAGAGATTTTTAGTGAGGAGGTACCGGAAATGCCCCTTAAGGAACTGCCAAAACTGAATACTACCGTTACACTGTTTTCGCTGGTAAAAAAATATGCTTTTTCTCAACTTTACACATCAGAATCAGAGAGAGTCACAGACTCTTTTAATGCATTAGTTACGTTTCTGCAGTGCATGTCTTCTTCTCGTCCTTCAAGCTTCTTGAATTTTGTTAAGTCTTTAATTAAAGGGCACAAAAAATAATGACCAAGGAATCATAACCAGTGTTGCCAAGTGTTTGTTTGGATTTATCACCAAAATATGTTTTTAATATCATTAGATTTTTTCTTATTGACAAATCAAAACTGTAAAAAGTTAACTCTTACTTTAAAAGTTTTTAGAGTATTTGCACTATATGGTTATAAAGATGGTAACATTAACAATAACTTTAATTTCTTTATTCAAGCTTACAATCAAATTTACTTAAAGCTTCACAATAATCAACTCAGTTTCATGTGTTAAACCATTTGGTATATTTGTTTCCCTCCGACCAATCTACCTAGTACATGTGTATGACTCATTCTCAAGTTTTTGGCCATACAAAAGTCAAGAAACAAAAAAAAGGTTAGGAATAATATACTTGATGGATGGATTAAAGAAGACGACTTGACCATGATGAGAACAAACCGAAGTTTAAAAAAAAAAAAGGTAAAAGAAAACGTTATGATGATTGTATGATAATGATGTGTTCATGAGAAAAAAAAAATGAACCAATCACTAAACATATCTTTTGCTTTCCTTTCTCTTCTTTATATTTCACTTTGAACTTTTGTTTTTAATTAAAAAATTTATCTTGGGTCCTGAATCATAATGACATTTAGGAAAAATAAAATAATAACATGGAGCCATGAGTCAGGAGATGGGTCCAAAACACTGAAACAGTGAAGATGAAACTGGGACACCCACGTGCGACCCACAAAGAAGGTCCACAAAATGGGTCATTTGGGATTCAAGACATAAACAATACAAACTTCACAAATGCTTTTTTGTTAACAAGACACACCTCTCTGGTCTCTTTCACCTGTTGACTGCTTACAAGACCCAAAACGGTGACGCTGCGGTGACTGTGATAGATTAGTAAAAGGGATTGATTTGCTCTACATCTATTTTTTCGTCTTCTTCTCGCCTTTGTTTGTTACGGTGTTACCTGTTGCTTCTATTATTCAAATGTTACACATGCTTGTTATAGATATGGCTTACAAGTTCACAAGCTGGCTTTAAGGTTGTCATGTCACCCTCTATATATACCTGATTAAGGTAAACGACATAGAAATAAAAAACTTGATCATGCAAGAATCTATCTCTCAACCGATCTCCGGTTCTTCATCTCCCAATACAGCACCTAGCATGAAAGCAAGTATTAGAGATGAAAGACAAATATTAGTAATGTGTTTCTCACTTATTCTCCACCAAACACACATACGCATCACATGTGTATACAAGTAACCATCCAGAGAATGCAATCACAAGAGTTAACATCAATGAAACAAAACACACAGTTCTGAGTTGGATTGGCAAAAGAGAATCGAAACGAACCTGAACGACAAGTGCAGGAGGATCTCAGCGACTCTGACGAACGGGAGACGCCGGAAGACAGACGAAGAGAATCGCCGTCGCCGAGATTTTTTTGAGGTTTGGCGTTAATCTGGTTACTCTAATATTTTGATAAAGAGGCCAAATCTGGACCGTTGATTAAGAGAGAGATTAGGATATCGGTGACCAACTAATCCTCGATATTTTTGGGTTCACCACTTTTTATTCACCCTTTTTTTATTAGCCAATCAAAATATATTTTGATATTATATTTTAAAATAAATCAGAATTCAAAGTTGAAAATAAATCAAACTAAAGAAACCAAATACTGTATGTTTTTTATGTTTTTCGGTTTGAGTATTCATTTAATTGGATAACTAAAAGAAAAGAAGGTGAATAAGATTAGTCTTTGTTAGTGTTTGATACTACTATATATGAAGAGATTTATCGATGGTAATTGGTAAACCAAATTTTTCGGTTAATAACACTGTTGTGATCAATGGGTTATGTAGAAGTGTAGAAGTAGAACAATGTGCTGAAGTCCACTTGGATTAATATTTTGGAACCTCAAAGTGCATGCATGCATCAAGAAGCCTGGCCCTGGGATTCTGTATTACTAATTCCTTTCCTATTTACACTATTGCAAAATTCCTTAATCCTCATGACTCGGATACAGATCATTGTGTTTGTGTGCAGTGACTCAAACAATTCATTGACCTGCTCTCTAAAAGACATCATTCTTTAATCTTGACCAACAATGAAACCAACTTAAATTTTCATTTCACGTTCTGCTTTTAGGCTTCTTATTTCTTACAGATTTTGAATACTTCCTTTTTAGATAATTTAATGTACATATATTAACGTAATATATAAAAGATAAGCATTATCCAAACAGGCAAACATAAATGTTATATCTATCTCTTTTTCTTACCAAAAAAATAAAAAAAAATGTGATATCTTTACGTGGTCTTCACATCGTTCTTACATCCTTATATATGATGGTTTTTCATTAGTTTATGTATTTCTTGATTATTAAAATACTAATAACAAAAGATACGAAATAAGATAAAATTTCGTCGTGCTTGCATTTTAGCATAAGGTTTTTTGGAAATATTTCCAGGTATAACTTTTTGTAGTGAGAGTAGATATGCATAAAAAGCATGATTAATATAATTTCGCAATACTGAATCAATTAATTAATGATTTTTTATTTTTTTTAACAACTCATGTGACATGTAAACAAAATCTCCTACGAAAGGCAATGAAGAGACTGTTAACTCTTTTTTTTAAGAAAAACAGTTTACTCGTCATAATTGTCGTTTTAACTTTTAAGTGTTATACACATATTAAGAGACTGTTAGAATTCTATTATATATTTTTAATAGAAATTTAAATTACAAAACATACAATATATATTATTAATCTAATACAGTACATAATTTTATTTCTCGAAATCCAAATTAAAATACATATTATAGAGAGATAAAACTAAAACATACTGAAATAAATTAAGATTGTACATGAAGTAGCTAGCTAGGCCTATTGTGAACCAACAATGAGACATCAAAGCCATGAAACGACGGTAGTTAATTTAGTTATGCACTCCAAGATTAGCCAACTCGAAACCCAAATCAAAACAATTTCAGAACGAAGTTTCGGGATATAATTTTGCATTAGCGATTTAGCCAACTCCAAGTATAGAAAACGCGGTTTGGAAATTGGAAGTATGATGAATACGATGGCTCTTTTTCTGAGTGTCTTTGAAGGTTTTTGGTTTTTGGTCGGCTACGTGAAGTCCACAACTTACACAGTAAGCACCGACTCAGCTTTAACACGTGGTTCCCACAAATACCACTCTATCTATATATACTCACTTATCAGATAAAACCTAATAAGAGGCAAAATAAACAAATGTGTGACGACATCTACACGAATCATGATCTGCTTATCAATCAACCTCATTGGTGGCGTTGATAAGTCAACTCTAATATCTGTCCCTTAAGAATATTAAATGCATTATTAAAACAAAATTTGACTTTGCGTATTGGATAAAACCCGTCCAACGTGTTATTCTGCTGGCAAAAATTAATGGATTAGGATAAAAACTTTTCAACAACAAACAATTTAAAACAATGAATAAGATGCCTTTTCAGCTTATCGAACATAGAATAATGTAAGAATCTCCACTCGAAAACTGTTATAAAACGAACACGAAAAGGCCAAGTTCAAGACATCATCACAACCTAGCCAAACACAACCCCCACCATATCTTATTTTCGTCCGTTTCTTCTTCTTGTTTCGGTTCGTTCTTTTGCCGGTAAGATCGTGTCGGAAATCAAGTAACAGATACAAGTCTTAGCTAACCCACGGATGGCTCAAGTCTTGTCTCCACCGATGGCTATCACCGGCCCGACGCCGCTACAGTTCATGGCGGGTCTTCTTGGTCGAATCGTTACTAAAGACACGAGCAAAGAGATCGGTACGCCAGAGAGCCCGAAGAGTCCACGGACCCCTCAAGGCTCTGTTCTCATGGATAAGTATGAGCTAGGAAAGCTTCTTGGCCACGGAAGCTTCGCTAAGGTTTATTTAGCACGGAACATTAAATCCGGCGAGGACGTCGCCATCAAAGTCATTGACAAGGAGAAGATCGTGAAGAGTGGATTGGCTGGTCATATAAAAAGGGAGATCTCGATCCTCCGCCGTGTCCGCCACCCTTACATTGTCCACCTCCTTGAGGTCATGGCTACGAAGACAAAGATTTACATCGTGATGGAGTACGTACGAGGCGGAGAACTTTACAATACGGTGGCTAGAGGACGGCTTCGAGAAGGAACTGCTCGGAGGTATTTCCAGCAGTTGATCTCATCTGTCGCTTTCTGCCACAGCCGCGGTGTTTACCACCGCGATCTCAAGCTTGAGAATCTGCTTTTGGACGATAAGGGGAACGTTAAGGTCTCTGACTTTGGGCTCAGCGTTGTCTCAGAGCAGCTGAGGCAAGACGGAATCTGTCAAACTTTTTGCGGGACACCAGCTTATTTGGCGCCTGAGGTTTTGACAGGGAAAGGTTATGATGCTGCCAAAGCCGATATTTGGTCTTGTGGAGTGATCTTGTTTGTGCTGATGGCTGGTTATCTTCCGTTTGATGACAAGAACATATTGGTTATGTACAAGAAGATCTATAAAGGGCAGTTCAAGTGTCCTAAATGGTTTGCTCCTGAGCTTGCAAGGCTTGTGACCAGGATGCTAGACACGAATCCGAATACCCGAATCACAATATCCGAGATCATGAGGCATAGATGGTTCAAGAAAGGTTACAAGCATGTCAAATTCTACATTGAAAACGATAAGTTATGCAGGGAGGATGAAGACAATGATGGAGACGATTCATCATCATTGTCATCAGGCCGATCATCGACTGCTTCAGAAGGAGACCTGGAGTTTGATATTAGAAGGGTTGATTCAATGCCGAGACCCGCGAGTCTTAACGCATTTGACATTATATCGTTCTCTTCGGCTTTTGATCTTTCGGGTTTGTTTGAAGAAGGTGGACAAGGAGCAAGGTTTGTATCTGCTGCTCCAGTCACAAAGATCATATCGAAGTTGGAAGAGATTGCGAAAATGGTAAACTTTACGGTGAGGAAGAAGGATTGGAGCGTGAGGCTAGAAGGTTGTAGAGAAGGTGCTAAAGGACCGTTGACTATTAAAATTGAAATCTTTGACCTGACGCCATCTCTTGTGGTGGTTGAGGTGAAGAAGAAAGGAGGGAATATAGAAGAGTATGAGGAGTTTTGCAACAAGGAACTTAGACCACAGCTGGAGAAACTGATGCATTACCAAGTAGATGAAGTTGAAGAAGCAATGTGTCTGCCACCTGAAAGTGAACAGTGACGATATTAAAAAAATACAGGAAGGTCGAGAGAAGAAGACATAACAAGAGAAGGTATCATAGAACGAGACTATTAACATTCTTTGTCACTATACCATTTAATTTAATTTGTTATGTGTATATATATGAAAGTGAGAGTTGTAATGGGAGTGATAGGAAGATCAGAGAAGAAAAGAGATTAAGAGTGAGATCTAAGGCAGTTAGACGGTTTTTGCTGGCGATTACAAGGCTAGTTTTTCGTTTATTGCTAATATGTTGTACATGTATCTCTAAAAAAAGAGACAAGCTTAATGATAATTCTTTCTCGGCCTTCCCCTATTACACTGTCTTGTTCATCCTAAGATTACTCATTTCTATGCTTCATCTCAGAAAGACTATATGGTAAACTGAAATGTGTAAACGTTACCTGTAGACTTTGCTGTCCTGTAGTCTTGGTGAACTTTTATTATTAGTTGAAGCACCTGAATGGAAACACTTAGTTTGGAAAACCTCGAACAATTAATTGATAGAAATATGAACATAGCATTTACTGGGAACAAATCTTCTTCTTATTAGCTAAGGAGGCAACACACATATATGGAAGTATAGCTACACATGTAAATCAATCTGAGGGATTACGGGTTAAGTGTTCTAAGGGTCATAAAAGAAACTCGGTTTCTTACGCCTAATGAAGTTGTAATCAAGCTGAATCAAATCCAACCTGACGATCCATTCCAGGGGGTCAGATCTTGGGAAGCTTTGAACCGTTAAGTTGTGGATTGACAAGGTGAACGAGCAACCAGTTCCTGCAAAACATATAGATAAGATCAAAGGCTGATCAGCATTCTCGCCTTATTGTGTTTCTTTATCTCCCAGGGAAAACTTTAGATGCTTACTTCAGAATAGCGTATATGATCTCTGTGCGTATAAGAAGTCTTGACAATAGTTTCCCACTTGGTAACACTTGTGGAGTTTTCTTCGATGTTCTTTTTTTGGGGATGAAACAGAGATCTCCGTGAAGGGATCTTCGAGCTTATTGAAGGCAGACTACTGAAAAGCCAAGAATCAGAAGGCTTTCTTGGTGGCGGTGGAGCAAGTGGAGACAGATCACAGCTACTGTTGGTCTTTTCCAACTCATCTGCCTTTGCCATCTTGATTCCATTGCTAACACTAAGAGTTTCTACAGCCTGAAGCTCGAGAATGGGTTTTGGTTTCTCTCCCTCCATTTCTGGCTCCTCTGAAATTGTTTCTGGAAAGTTCTTGACATTTGAGTTACCGTGATCATTGCTGGTCTTTGGAGATCTCTCTGTGTCAACATATAATGTCTTCTCTATGGAAGAGCTTGTAGAACAGTCTTTCCTTGTGCTTTTTGGGTAGAGTAATTCCTGAGACTTGGTTATGTTTCTTATATGCTTGTTCAACCTGTTAGCTCTCATAATCTCTGCTTCCTTACGAGTTCCAGGGAAACCAGGGTGAAGAGGAGAGCTATTTCCTACACTGCGATACGGTGACATACAGCCAGTTTGCCTGTAAGGAGAAGACGGCCTACTTGCAGAAGTCACGTTTGAGTCAAGTTGTTCAGATCCAAAGTTAAACTTCTTCCCAATACTTGGATGTACTGGAGATTGAGCTATATTTCCCAACTTTTGCTTATAATCAAGAGCGAGCTGAAAACATACAAGTTTTTGATTGATATTCAGTGAGCGTCTGATTAGATCCATGAAATACTAAAAGAAGTGAAAAGGAAAGGGAGGTTTGAGAAGAAACCTTTTTCATTGATTGGAATCGAGATTTGAGCTGAGCGACCTTACTTGACTTCACTTGATCATGGCTGGAGTAAGGTTTCTCCTTCAGACCATGCACTGAGCTCAGCATACCGAGTGAGTTTTTAAAGCAAAGTTGTGGTGACATCATCCCACAGCCTCTCTTAGAAAGATAATCAGAAACCTCATCGTCATCTGAATCCTCCTCGCTTTCTTCATAATCATATATACCCTGATAATAAGATGGAGACACCATAGACTCATACCTCGTAGGAGTTGCACGATTCTCCGCTGGTACTATATCTCTAATTTGTCTCATTGGTTCAGACATGAGGGGCAATGGTTGTCGCTTCCAAGCATATTGAGGTGGTTGCTCCACAGTCATGGATTTCGCGGCAGGTAAGAACCGATCCAACATGAAATCCCGAGGTTGAGGATCCTCAGATGGCCTTGGCGGTTTCAATGCCTCACCAACACCACTAATGCTATGCTTTAAAGACAATGTATCAAGAGCATCAGAGAAGACATCATCATCATCATGATCTTCACTCTCTTCTTCAACATGTTTAACTTTTGAACTCTCCAACGGACATTTAGAAGGGACAGACGGAGATGTCGAAACCTGATCTAAACCCATATCTTTGACAAGAACTGAAACAGAAAGACTTGTTTTGGAGTCAACATCATTGAGCTGCTTTGGCATGTTTCTACGGACAGACACTGCTTCTTTCTTCATACTCCTTGTTGAAAGAAGAGGTGCATCGAAGTTAAGTTTGTTCTCCTCCATTAGAACCAACAAAAGCCGTTAGAAAAGCTCAGATATGGACTGACACTATTTTATGATGGTTCACAGTTCTCCAAAACAGATCTGAAATATCAAAACATAAATAAATAAGTCGGAGCTACCTAGATTCCCATAGTAGTTGACTAAATTTAAGTAATTAAATATAAACACTGACACACATGAACCTCCAACGACAAATCTGAAGAAGATGGGAAACATACAAAAAAGTAATCAACTTTAACAAGAAGCTTTCGATTAAATTCAAAAAATATAGTTGAGCCGCTAAAACTTTTAAACCCGTGAATCAAAACATTGGATTAAGGCAAGAATTTAGAAGATTGTGACAGTCTTTGAAGCAAGATAGAAGATAAGTGTAACATTGCATGCCTGAATTGTGAAACTAACTAACCGGAGAGATGTGGAGGGAGGAGCTTCGGAGTTGTTATCTGCACCGAGAGAGAGTGTGATGAGTGAGAGGAGAAAAAGACGAGACCTTAAGTCTTGAGGAAGAGTAAGAACAAAGGCATGTGAAAGAGAGAGAGACAAAAGATAGAGTAAGCTTTTGGATTTGTGGACATTTCTGTGCCGTGAAGATGACGGAGACGAAAATGGGAATTAAAGAAGAAGAAAAGAAAAGAAACAATGTCACGAGAGGCTTCTGTTAATGTGTTAGACATCCCCCAACTGAGTATCGCAAATTGTCAACTTTTCTCTTAGCGTCTCAACCAATTTAAGAAAATATATTCTGTGACAAATATCACTTTTATTAGTTAGTGACATGCACAATAGGATTCACATCACTAAAATCATTTGAGTAAGGAGGATGAACAAAAAAAAAGAAGAAGGAAAAAAACATATGGGAAAAGGACAGGTAAGAAAATTAATGGGCAAGATGTTTTATGTGAAGAGACCATTACTGTTGTGCTATATCTTCATATTAATTGCTAACGGATACAACAAACCATCCAACATTGAAGCCAAAAATTAATGAAATAGAAGAAATAGAGCCTTATTTTAACAATAAGCATCTAGATGAAAAGAAAGACCATGAAAACCAAAATATTACTTAGGATTCTCAGCTCTGCACCTGAGCTTCTGCAGCTTCTTTCTCTTCATTGGCTGCAGCCATTAGCTCATCAAACTTCTCTGACTTCACAAGAGTGATTTCAATCTGCAAGACCGAAAACCGAAATCGAGAACATCATACATAATTTCAGAACAGATTGGATGGTTGAAGAGTTTGCTCTAAGGAAATACTATACCTTAGCTTTCTGAACAGGACGTCCCCTTGAGTCATCCTTAATATCCACAGTCGTAGTCATGATCTCTATATAAGTAAAGAAAGAAACCATTATTTTCCAAAACAAAACTTAACCGCAAAATCTCCAAATTTTAGCATGTACTAATTCAGACTGACTAAAAAGATACTTACTCTTCTCAACAGCAAAACCGTTGTTCTTCAGTATCTCAGCAACAGTAACAACGGTTGCAATTGCTACATGTCTCAGGTTAAAGAGAATCTTAATTAGTATAAGATATAACCAATACACAGATTATTCCAATAAACAGTAGCATCTTTCCAGAATCAGAGACTAAATACACATTACAGTCCCAACAATATACAAGAATAAAAAGAAGAGATAGAGATGATGAAGATACATACCCATCCCAAGAGCAGACAATTCAACATCGTTGTACTGCTGCATATACCTCTGAACAAAATCCAAACAACAAGTTAAACACATCATAGACACGAGTAATAACCACACAGACACACCAATCAAGAAACAAAAAAAAAGCGTAGCACTTGCTAATGAAACAATAAGAGATCATAATCCAATAACAGCGAGAAATATAGAGATTTTCCAGAAAGGTTGAGCCTTTGTGACTTGATTCACACACAATAAGAAACCCTCGATCGAAACAGATCTTCTTCGAGACAAGAGTAAAGGAAATGAAGAGTGTACCTTGGCGAGATTGACGTAGAAGAACAATGGTTTTTTGGTGTTGGAAACCTGAATCCGGTTCTTCTTCTGGGAATCATTCGCCAAGTTCATGTTGCTGACTCCATCTGTGATCTCTTCCATGGTTTGCTAATTCGTAATTCGTAATTCGTAACCCTAATCTTTGTTTTTCTCAGAGGTAAAGAAATTAACAGAACAAGATACGCTTCTGAGTTGTGTCTGTCATTCCTTTGTAACATTCCGGGTCAACCCGGTAAGTTAATCGGGTTGTTCGGAAGGCCGAATCATCTAATGTGAGCTTTGAGGCTTTTTCAATGGATCAAAGGTAAAAGGATTGGGTTTGTTTTGGGCCTAGATTTAGTTCCACACAAATCTGCTTCTTAAGTATAAAACACTTTTTGCAATATTAGCATGAAGATTTCAGTTTTAGCTTCTTGCTGATTTTTTTTTTTTTTTCTTGCTGATTTCTTTCGATTGAATAAAGATTAGTTTGTAATTTTGTATGATCTGCGTTGCATGACTCTAGCTAGACCTTGTGTTTTAATCTCGTCGGATGTATTTGGTATATTTATCTATGGGCTCAAAATACATAAATTTGCTTTTGGTATCTTCATATCTTGGGTTGTTTACAAGTGTTTGGACAGTAACTATAATATTTTATCCAAAACCATGCTACGAGTGTGTCAGTATCCTCTATCAGCATGAAATTAAATTGAAAGCCTGATTATGGATGGATGATGTGTGATGTGTGATGTGTCCTATACTCATATAGCTATTTCCAGTTTTCTAATTTCCAATTTGATGTTAACAAAAGAAAAAAAAAAAAAAAAAAAAGGAAAAAGAAGAAGCAATTTGTGGATATATAATTGCTTCAGATCTTTTTATCGTAAATAAACTAACAGCCAATTGCGAAGTCAATGAGTTGGATTCTGACTAAGTGAATATATATATATATCTTATTGGAAAACTGACGGAAATTACCTGCCACAGATCTAATAAAATCATAATTGACGTTTTCGAAAAATAAGAAAAATTAAATGAATGTCAAAAAGAAAAAAGAAAAATGTATATATCATATGATAATTCGATATCAAGTTAGGACATGATTACGGTATGACGGTATCATGTCTTAATCCGACACCGTACTGTATATGCCACGTTTCATATCTAAAAACAAAGCATTGATGCCATCGATGTGTCGTTGGACCAATTCTTGTTTTATATTTATGCAAACTGAAGTTACTACTGTAATGCACAATTCGATGATTTCATCTTTAATCAAAGTAAATATCGATCGAGAGTTTTATCATTTATTCTGAAAGGTTTATAACTTTTGATTGATAATGATGGAAATAACAGTAATATTGCTCATGGAATCTGCGTCAAAGATTACAACTGCACACTCCCAAATCTTGGTTAAACAAATATTTAAGGACAGAGAAGTAAATTTTTTAAAAAGTGATAAATGAGATGTGATTAAAGTTTTATGATTTGGTAGCATCCATAAATAGGACGACTAGCTAAAAGTCATGCATGGATCTAATCGCATTACTTATTTATTAATACTATACCTACCAAGGACCATTGAATTGATTACTGACTAATACTAGTGTATTAGTGTAGACTGTGGAGTAGGACTAGTATACATCTTTGATCCATTGTATTAAGTATTTATAAAATATATTTCCATTTACTAGTCTGAAACAATACTTTTGGGGGAAAAACGACAAAAAAGCTCGAGTTTAATAAGTTAGCTTTGGTTAATGGGAGTTAGATCCTAACTAAGTCTAGAAGCACAGATCTAAATATGCTTGTACATGATCTATTGTGTATATATTATCTCAAAACGTGGGAGTAGGTCACACATCCACATGCATGTGTGCAAGTCTCTAAGCGTGAGTGAGATATAGATGTATGAGAATATATTTATTCATTCACACGCACACAAACACTAACGTTTATGATGCAAGAGGCTATCTCTATATAACTATATATATGTTAGAAGAAAAGATCATCGTATAGAATACGAAACGAAAACTTAATTTCACTTGACTAGATTCATCGCTAGAAGCTTTGAATTGTATCACATATACTATTAGTTTATCAACAAAACAGAAAAATCTAAAGATATAGTAAGATGAGGACGAGTGTCTCTATTAATTGGTGCCCCATAAATGGGAGTATTGTTCATTCAATAAATATATGTAAGTAGCCAACTCAACAAAGTCTATTTCCTCACAAACGACCAAATTCTCATTCAATGATCCAAACTTTAACGCTATCTCTAAACTGTAACGCACATTTCTTTAGTATTATTTTTATAACTCCAGTTTTCAGATTCTCATTCATTGATCCAAACTTTAACCTCTACTCACTACTTTGTTACTCCAATTGTGTATATTTACTACTACTTCTTCAAATATTTGTTTGTAAGAACAGGTTGATGAGGTTCTAGACTTGTAGTAGAATCTTTTACTTGAGGCATATGCCACTTATTAAAGACTACCGTATGGTTTGGTTTATGAGCACCTTTCTTTTTAGTTCTAAGCCCCTTTTCGTCCTTTTGGTCTTGGCACTTTTTGTGTGTATATTTATTTTTCCATTAGGTTATTATAATTGTCTATTGAAAGTGGGAATGGCTTGCAGTGTTGGCAATGTCTTCCGAGTCTTCTCTCTTTCACTTTACAACCCAAAAAGCTTTTTTGTAACCCCCAAATTTTTCCCTCTCTCTCTTTCTCTTTTCGGCGGTTAAGCTGCCACAATCTCTCACCAGACACCCACATAAAAAAGAAAACAATCTTTTGTCTCTTATCCTCCAAACCCATTTGATCATTTTCTCAAGAACAGAGCAAAAATGCCGCTTGTTAGGCTCGAAGTCAAGAATGTGTACGGTTTAGGTCAACCGGAGCTTCACAGAAACGTAGACCGTGATGACCCTAAAGCAATTCTTGATGGCGTCTCTGTTTCTGGACTCGTTGGGATCTTGCGTCAACTTGGTGATCTCACCGAGTAAGTACTTTTTAGTCAACCCCAACTCTCTGTTTTTTTTCTTTCTCTTTCTTTAATTGTTAATACCATTTGAGCTTCTTAGAGATGATCTTCTGTAGAATCGTAAGTTTTGCTATGTCTGGTCTTCTCCATTTGCTTAGTTTTATGGTTCTTACCAGACATGAGTTTCAGTGTTTAGCTCAAAAATAAAATTAAAACCTTTTGATCTCCACATGGTTCAGGTTTGCAGCTGAGATATTTCATGGAATACAAGAGGAAGTTATGATAACAGCTTCAAGAAGCAATAAACTGAAGATGAGACTGAAGCAAATAGAAGATACAGTTCCTTCAATCCAGAAGACAGTGCTTGCACAAGCAAACCACATCCATTTTGCATATACTGGAGGTATCTTTTTGTCTTGTTTCTCTTGTCAACCTTCTTTATTGTATAGATTCACATGTTTGCCCTTTAAACAAATTTATATCCTCTGAGTTTAGTGTAGGCCCAAAGCTCACATGCCTTTTCCCACTTACTTCTTTGCTTAAAATACTCTTAGTGAGTTGAGAGTTTTGATGAGGATATGATAGCTAGTAGTCTTGGATCAGATCATCACATGGTGGAAGCTACGAACTCTCTCTTCCTTTTGGATCTATATTATATTAAAACGTGATATTTTGTAGGAGAAGAAGTAGAATTTTGGTATAGTGAATCAATCTGAATTTATTAGGATTGGCGATAATATAAAAGAAGATGATTAGTATTTTAAGTGTATAGTTTATGAACATAGTGGTGACATGTTGTTTCAGGTTTGGAGTGGCATCCTCGTATACCAAATGTGCAGAATCACTTTATATATGACGACTTACCACCGTTTGTTATGGCTCCTTATGAAGATTGCCGGGAGCCTCCACGGTTGCACTTGCTAGACAAGTATATTACACCTTACTCATTTTTACATTTTTTGTTACATTTTAGATTGGTTGGAAATGTGATCCTGATTCTTTGCTGATTTCGTCAGGTTTGATATAAATGGACCAGGATCTTGCTTGAATCGATACTCTGATCCTACTCACTTCAAGACAGCATCAAGAACTTCTAAACTTCCAGAAATTAAGGTCTGTTTAAATCAGTTAAACCACAGTCTCTTCTTCTTGATGATTATTTTTCTGGTTCCTAAACTTATCTGCATGAAACAGAAGAAAAAATCATTACAACGTAACCGAGATGTATCAAGTCTTGCCTCTATAGCTAACCAGAGTGACAGGTAAATACATTTGGTTTTTGAAATTATTGAGATATCTTTTATATATGACTCAAGAACATGTAAATCTTTAATATGATTTCAGGAAGACATTTACTTCTTTAAGTTTTAGTGGACGAACCTCTTGCTCTAAAACAGCCTCAACGGTTGAAATTGAATCGAAATCCGACTTTCAAGATCACCGTTCTTCCTCTTTCGATTCAAGAAGTGGTGGAGATAAACTGAAAGGGGTATCTTCTTCTTCAAGGTTTACACCGGGTTCCCGGACCATTGCTTCAGTTCTTTCTGAAAGTGAAAGTGAAGATACGAATGATAGTCCTTCTCAAGATTTAACAGCTCGTGGTTCTTCTTGTGTTAGTTGGCACGAGAAAGCTGAGATAGTGGAATGCAATGTTCTGCAGTGTGCAATAGATGAAGCTCCTGAAGTAATGGAGACTAACTTTGTCTTGGATGGTGGACCGGTATCAAGACTAAATGAACATACAACGGTAGATGCTGAATCAGTATCAACACTGAAAGACCATACAGAGTTTGAAGTAGTCCAAGATAACAAACCAAGGGGAATGGAAATGGATAGTGAAGATGAAACTGAAAGTGAAGGGGATGATTTTGTTGATGCGCTTTACACCATTGATTCGGAATCTGAAAATGAACAAGCGTACCAAGCCACTGAAAAGGTGCAGAAGAAGATTTCCAATGAGAATACAGAAGAAAGATTGGATAACAATGTGTGTGAGCAAGAAAAAGAGAAGATTTCTAACAACTGTAGTGATGATGAGAGAATATGTGCTGCTGCATCAGAGCTACAGTTATCACCACCAGTAAATAAATCTCAAGAACTGATTCATCAAGATCCATGGGCAGCTTCGGAAATAAGCAGTAGCACTCATAGTTATTCCAATGGCTTCTCGAATCCCTTGTATGATGTTAGTGGTATCCAAGAACATCAAGAATCAGAAGAAGCTGAGACAACTTCTTGTGAAACTGAATCCATCAAAACATGGACTAATGGAAATCTTCTGGGACTGAAACCATCCAAACCGAAGATAAAAGCCGAAACTATTCCAGAGATTGTTGAAGAGATTGATGCTGAACCCTTCCAAGAACCCTTGAGAGAAGATTATAAGGCTCCTTTTGATTGGTTTACTTCATCTCCTCCACTTGATCACATGAAGATATCTTTCAAATCCTCAGAAGCCTTACCTTGTTCCGAACTGGAGCTGAAACTTCCAGATGATTACACGTTTTCTTCTTTTCAGTTGGTGCCAGAGACTGCTGCAACTTCACTTCCTGATTCTGATTCGGACAAGGACACTTTCTGTAGATCCTCTTCTTACATTTCAGATAACAGTGACAATGCCTCTGTACTGATGTCTGAGAAGCAGTGGGAAGAGGAATCTGTCCACATTCGTGAAAGCAAGAACCAACAAGAGCTCTATGATTCTTTTCAAAGAATCAATTCTGAAGCTTCTTCTCTCTCAGCTCCATCTTCAAAGATTGAAACAGCAAATGGTTGTATAGTTGGAAATGTCTCTTACCTCCAACATCCAGCTGACCCTTTACCACCGCCGCTCCCACCATTACAATGGATGGTTTCAAAGCTACCATCAGAAAGATTGGAGGATAACAACAAGCCGTCTCTAAAAGACGCTCTCATACGCGCATTCGAGCAGAAGAACAATTCTTTATCAGCAGTCAAGAGAGAAGAACCAAACATTGTCACTGTTTCTGAGCCTAAACCAGAATTCAAGGTATAGGGAATCAAGAATTCTACTCTGTTTTCCGATGTTTCTTAGTCTTTTCCATATAAAGAGTTTTTATATCGTGAATGATAGGTACATCTAAAGAACAATGTGAGAGATTATAAGCAAAGTCTTGGCAACACAAAAGAGACAGAAGCTGGAGACTTCTTGCATCAAATTCGAACAAAAGTGAGTCATTTATATACATATAAACAAACTTCAATATTCTTGTACTATATGACAAGAAATTTTAGTCTTCACATAAATTGTATTATTCGTAACCAAGAACATGCTTTTTGAATCATAACAGCAATTTAACCTGAGACGTGTGGTCACGACAAAGACAGCATCATCGGAAGCTACGATGAACACCAATATTAGCGTAATACTAGAGAAGGCAAACTCTATCAGACAGGTTCCATTATTCACATTATTCTGATCCTCTGTTTCAATTTCCAAGTACGTACCATCCATTTTTGTCCTTGAAAGCATATAACATATGTCTCAATATCTGTTGTATCAGGCTGTAGCAAGTGACGATGGAGATGGCGAAAGCGATTCATGGAGCGATAGCGAAACGTGACTACTTGTGCAACTCACCACATTCATTGCGTAGTAGAGATAATAGGTCGATTTTTGTAATACGTTTGTATGTATCGTCAACAAAATGAAATAAGATTGGTATATACCATATGTTATGTCTTTTATTTTCTCTAGAATTAATATCTAGTAGTGAATAATTTTATAATCAACCGTGTTAGATAACAAATATGGGATTAGGATATAATCCCTTTAATTATCTTATTATATAAACTTTGTTTTTCAAAGTTAGCCATTAACAAGATCGTGACACGTGTCAATTATAAACTATAAGATATTGACACGTGTCGTAACTAATTTTATTAATATTTGGATAAAATAGAAATATTATTAACCCTATCGAAAAAGAAAATATATAAAATAAATATTATTAAGAATTATATATTAAAAATTATTAATAAATTAAACAAATAACCTAATTTCAGTTATGTCAATTTGGTTTATTAATAAGATAGGGATTTAAAATTTATAATTAACAAGAATATACGGCGGTTTTTGTTTACACTAGAGGATTAAGGTTTCAACTTTAATTTTACAATTAAATCAGGTTATTTGTTGGTTTGGGTATATAAATGATAAATAAAAATTATGGTTTATCTTTATAAATTAAAATTATGGTTTAAGTTTAACAATTAAATGAGATTATATGTCGAAACTTGGTTTTTAAATTTACTAACTCACGTGATCATGATAAGTGTCAAGTAAAAACATAAGATGTCGCAACATTTTATATTTAATTTTGTTAATATTAAGATAAAAATAGAATTTTTAACAACATTAAAAAATAATTATAAAAAATTAAAGAGAATTTTTGAGAAATACCCCTTTTTGTGTACCCTTTTTCAAAAATACCTCCTCTATCTATCCATTTTCAAAAATATCCATGTTTAAATATGAAAAATTATAAAGTTTTAAACTATAATTAAAATATATTAATATTTAAAAGTTTTAATTAAAAAGATATAAAGTTTTTACAAAATGGTATAATCATGTTTTAGAGGATAATTGCTAAATTAAGATTTTATAAAATATTTTAGCAATATTATGAGTAATGGTGAATAGCTCTCAAATAGCTCCCAAATGTTTTGGTGATTGTTAGTTTGACATTACTAGGTTTTTATAATTAACGTTTAATAACAAATTTTAAGAGAGAGAGATATATATATATATATATATGTACACGTTTATTTGATAGTTCAAACCAAATAAAACCTCTTTCCGAATTAAAATTAATTTCTCTTATTTTTCAAAAAAAATTTAGAAATTATTTTTTTATAAGTTATAATTAATTTTTATTTTAATTTAATTTTAAATAAAGATAACCCGTCCATCGGACGGGTACTATACTAGTTTAATAGGATAGTTTGTTGAAGTCATCAGAATCAAAAGGACTTAGTTAATTCTTCTTTAGTAGTATTTGATTATACATAAAAATGTGAGTTGGCATATATAGGATCACGATCGGAATCACATAAAAATGTGAGTAAGTACTCGAAACCCTAAGCCGTGAAGTTCGCTTTTGTGTTCTTTAATTTGAGTTTTTTTTTTAAGTTGGAAACTTGATTCGACACACTCTAGATATAAAATAAAAAAAAACAAAAACAAAAAAGGTCATGTCCTTGTTTATAGTATCACTTTTGAGAAGTTTTCAATTTCTATTTCATGCACTTGTGTTGCTGATTTATCTTTGAGTTTGGTGCGTGTGTGTGTGTGTCTAGGATAGTAGGATTACATATTTACATCATGGTACGTTTTGCGCCTTTTCATATTATGAGGTGTGGAGAAGAGAGCTCATCATCTCAACTAGATGTGTGAATCTAATCATATGCGAAAAGTAAATGGCTTAGTCTCAAGCAAAAATGAAATCCTAATGGCTAATTGATATTGCTCCCCGGCAGCGGCGCCAAATTGATGTAACCATTTTTACCCGACCAATTAAATTATCGAACCTCAAGGAGCAATTAATTAACACACCAAGAATACACAAATTTGTTTAATCTAAGCTTAATAAGAGATGAGTTTTGATTTCTAAATGTAACTAACAATGTAATTTAAAGCAAGCAATGCAAAACAAGATGAAAGAAAGCAATAATCAAAAGACTAACAAGATTCGAATTGAAACAAAGCGGGAAAAGACAATTACTAAGCAATAATTAAAGATGAATCATCGGGTTAAGGTAATTGACTAGGAGCGATAAAGAAGCGGATTATGGAGCTAACAACTTCAAACAAGCATTAATCCTTAGGCCATAGACACTAAACTAGACTAATTCATTTCCATGACAATAATCACTTTACTAATCAAATAATCATCAACTTCTTCCAAAGGCAATTAAATGATCAACAAGCATTAATAACAAGTCTATCTAGCCACTAAACATCCTAATCAACATTTTCAAATCGTAAGGAGTGTAAAGCACTTAAAAGTTTTGGTTCGGGAATTTCATCGAACACCTTCCGGGCGTGAAATTCCTAAGCTCTAAATCAACATTAACAAAGTTGATTTAGCCTTATTAGCAACCAATAAGCAAGGATCTTGGACAATCTAATCCTAAACTCCATAACTCAACTCCAAAATTCTCCTAATCTACCTAACCCAAAGATTCAAAATGACTACTCACTCATGGTCATGAAAGCACAAAGTAATGTGTTTGATCTTTGTGAAATCATGATTAGAGATTGTAGATTAAGAAAAGGAAGAAATACTTATATTAAAACTTGAAGATTCAAATACAAAATACAAGAAAAAATCTTAAAACATAGCATAAGATCCATAATTTTCGGGCTTTAAACATTTATATAGCATAAGAAATCGATCCGGGTCAACCCGAGATGAACCGGGTCAAACCCAAAGTCTTTATATCCAACCGGTCGATTGTATGGTCGATTGAAAACTTGTTTTGGCGTCTGTTTCACTCCAACCGACCTGCCAACAGACCTGTTGGTCGATTGGAATTCTCGATGGCTTCTATCTTCGTTCTGTATGGATATACTCTCACTAAATCAGTCATAACTCATGAACCACAACTCTGATTGGCCTGAAACAACCACCGTTGGAAAGCTAATTCGATTTCCTATCTCTTTTGTTCAGAGCTTCAAAGCTAAATCACAAGGTCAAGCCTTCATCTGAGTCGATCTTTGAGAGACTTCGGACTGGATCTGCATCATCAATCCTCCACTTTGCATTCAAACATGTGTCTTTATTATCTTAACCTGAAATAGCTTAAAAGACACCCAAAACACACTAAAACACACTCAAAGACACTATGTGACTTTTAAAAAGCAAGAAGACTCATTTAGACACTAAATGCAACAAAACACAATGAAAATACAATTGAAACATGATAAAAAGGATAATAAAACCCTTAATAAAGCTGTAAATATGATGTGTATCACTAATCGGTAAACAGAAGAAGGCACAAAAAGTAGTTATCTTTTTCTTTGATCACTTCTTTTCTTCTTAACCACTTTTATCTTTTTCTTTATTCTTGTAAGTAAAGAATTCCTTTATATATCAAAGATAGGATCATTATTTTTTTTTATTTTTTTTTTACTTTTATAACCTAGAAGGCTAGAATTATTTCTATACATAATCAACTTCTTTATTAAAGTTACTTAAACTTTTGTGTCAACAAACATATTTTTTCTAATCAAACAAAAGAGAAGAATTCAGCAAATTAAGACTATATATATTTGATTGGATCATTAGAGAGAAAAGGAAAGTTAGAGTGCATCGTGATGGACAAATGTGAATTGGCTTTAGCAGAACATTGACATTGTTCGTCCATGTAGTGAATGTCCCATGTTTTTTATAAGATATTTGGTAAATTGAGAAGAAGAAAAAAAAAAAAAAAAACAAGAAAATTTACATTTTCGGTAAAGCTAAATTCAAAAAAGATATCTCTTTAAAATATAATTTTTTTTTTACAAAAGATTATCTTTTTTCCATACAATGTAAAAAGTTGTTCTTTTATGGCTAAAAGATGAAACCAATGAAAAATCATACAGCTTAAAGAGATGAACATTAAATTAAACTCAAAGAAAGAAAAAGAGAGAGAGATGAACGTCGATCAATGTTCTCTTTTTTCCTTTTCCTTTTTCTCTTTCTCTTTTTTTTTCCTCTTTCATTTTTAACACTTTCCTTAGTTTTATGTTTTATATTTTATACTAGCAGTTGATCCGCGCTGCGCGCGGGAGATTTATATTTTTTTGTTAATTTCTTTATTTATATTGTGAACTTTTAATTATTTTAATTGATTTTCAAAACATATTATAGTTATTTTCTCTTGAATTATTATCTTTCAATATTTAAATTTGGATTAAAAACATTTTCTTTTTGATCATGTTATAAACTAATATTTCACTTTCAATTTTATTTTCCCCTTTAAAATTATATATATACAATTACATAAATGTTGTTTTTATTCTATCATAAATTTAAAATTTACTTACATTCTTAAACTTAGTAACACATTTAAAATTTTAAACTATGATCAATTTAAAATGAAAGTTGAATTATATTATTACTACTAACTAATAAAAATGAAAGTATTTCTTATTTAACATTTCATTTATTTACATAATTTATTTTTATTTATATAAATTTTCTATTAATTAAATATGTAGTATAAATATGCACTAAATAAATGTTTTAAATTTATTTTAGTGTAAAAAAATGTGGCTTAGGTGGATGCTTATGTGGCATCATGAGAAGAGAGAAAAAGCTAACTTTATATATATAGATTACATCAACCAAATAATGGAATTAGGTTAATAGAAAGTGGCATATTTTCAGAGAAAAAGTGTTTTGCTTAGCTTTATCTTTTCTTTTTTTCTTTCTCAAAGCAAGTTCCATTCAAAGATACTTCCTCTTTCAATCAAATACTGTATATATGAATCCAACTTTACTTAACTGCTGGGTCGAATTTATACTAGCTAGGTTCATATGATCATTGAGTTTGATTTTGAATTGATAGAACTTTACGTATGATTGTTGAGTGTTGTTTTTATAACTGGAAATAAACTCGAAAATAAACAATACATGCATGATCAAAATATTAGATTTAGTCACACATGATTAGACTTAGCTAATTCGCCCGACCGGTTTTGTTATTTTGGCAAAACGTTCGACTTGATAACGTTTTCCGGTCTAGATTCAATCTGTACCAAAACATTAGTGTGTGAAAATTAGATTTAATCATACATTGATTAGGCTTAGCTAATTCGTCCGACCAGTTTTGTTATTTTGGCAAAACATCCAACCTATTAACCTTTTTCCGGTCTGAATTCAATTTGTACCGAAACATTAGTGTGTGGAAATTAAATTTAAAACCAAAGAGTGACTTATGAGGAGGCTATTACGTTGAATGGGATCCACAAGAAGGCTTTGGAGATGACAAAGTGGAGAAAGAGTAAAACGACGATGTCTGAGTCTCAAAAGCTCTCATATACTCCTCTCTTTTTCCTACGCAACACTGACTTACTACCAAGCTTTTTTTCGTTTTTGACGGCTTTGTCTTTTTAGATCAGATCTAAAACATAATTCATTCAAAAGTAAATAGTAATATACTTCATCCACTCTAAAGGTAAAACAATTTGATCCAACGGTTCCAAAAAAAACAAAACAAAAAAGATTAATATATATTGGGGGAAAACACACACATTCACACACAAATCCATTTAAATTTTTTCAAAAGAAAAGATATATATGGGGGCAAAGACTCCTAGGTGTCTAGAGAGTTGCATTTCTTCTTCAAACCTAATGATAATAATAGTAGTAGTAGTAGATTACTTTAAAAATGGAACTCGTAACTCGTGCACTGTGAAATCATAATCAAATCCGTAAATATATTAAAGTGCAAAAAGAAAGTCTTACCAACACATTTTTTCCTTTTCACTATACCATTTTCGTTATTTGTTTATGACAAAGTTTTCTTATTGATTAGTATCTATATTTTCGATAACCCAAGAAGTTGTAATTCGTTGACAATCTATGAATTCACAACAACATTCGGATGTGAAAAGATGGATCATGGATATTAGAATCATTCTTTTTTCAAATTAAAACTGAGATTACTGTACTTTAGTTGGATCACGTTCTAGCATCCACTAGTCTAAAAAATTGTTACGTAATTGAATGATTCGTTTTAAATAAAAGAGTAAGTGGACAAAAAAGGGAAAACGTGTTGATAAGACTTCTGCGCTAAATACCACTCGATGATGGTTTTTTACAGTAAAACTACTTTACTCTGTTTCTCAAATCAGTATAGCTTCTTTATAAAGAAAGTTTTTGTAGCTTGATCTGCACTGGTATTCGTGTTTTACGTGTAGATGTGAATTCTATAGACCCTAAAAGTAAAATAAAAAATAAAGCGATCAATACTATATGCTTTTGAACTTTATACAATATATAATATTTCAATGGTCTCCACTACTTCAGTCGCTTTTCATCTCCTTCCCTGCTAAAAAGTTATATCCATCTTTCTATAAAAAGACATCTTCTCTTATTTCTTACCTGCAACATACTTTTGATAAGCTAATTTTTTCAAACATACTTCACATTTTGTCATGGCGACTCAAGACTCTCAGGGGATTAAGCTCTTTGGCAAAACCATTGCATTCAACACTACTCAGACCATGAAAAGGGAAGAAGAGATCAAACAGCCTCCAGAGCAAGAGGCCACAACAGCCGTTAGCTCATCATCGGATCTGACGGCGGAGAAGCGTCCGGACAAGATCATAGCATGTCCAAGATGCAAGAGCATGGAGACAAAGTTCTGTTACTTCAACAACTACAACGTAAACCAGCCTCGACACTTTTGTAAAGGCTGCCACCGTTACTGGACCGCCGGTGGTGCACTCCGGAACGTTCCCGTAGGCGCCGGTCGTCGGAAGTCCAAACCACCAGGCCGTGTCATGGTAGGTATGCTTGGGGAGGGGAATGGTGTCCACCACCAGGTCGAGCTTATTAATGGCTTGCTCGTAGAGGAGTGGCAGCATCATGCCACAGCCGCAGCTCACGGTGGTTTCCGGCATGATTTTCCTATGAAGAGGCTCCGGTGCTACTCCGACGGTCAATCTTGCTGATTATTATTGTTAAATTTTTTTTTTGGTTTCTAAAGTTTGTTTTGGTTTTGGGGGTTTGAGTGGTTTTCCGATAAACCCGTAGAAGAACGTGGTGAATTTGGTTGCTATTGGGTACATACAGGCTGTCACGTTAGTTAATTTGTCATTTGTCAATCAATCGAATCTAATTATGTACTACTTAACTTTAATTTACTACGTACTCCATCCTTACATGAGAATATTATTAAACAACTCGTTTCTTCACTCTTGATTAACTAACTAGTATTATCCACCTAGGATTCGTATGCTTTACTAAACTAGTGGGGCGTATAATATTTATTTGGGTTAGAATCCCATCTGGTTAACAAGATTTTATACTATAACATAAAATATCAAATGTATTATTATATCTAGACCCCTCCTACTAATTGTTTTGGAATTCCTTAAGTCGGTTGTTTTTGTTATTTTTTCCTCATGTGTGATTGTTTTGGGCCTTTGGCATTCATCTCAAAGAAACTTGCTATTAATATCTTACATCACTAGTGAGATAAAGAGGTATCAATAGTTCTTACCAAAAAAAAAGAGGTATCAATAGTTTTTATTGATTGTCATAAAAACCTTTAGGTTTTTCATCAATTAGTGACTTCCATTAGAGTACTTTTAGAATATTGTCACCGTAATTAATCATTTCTTTAAATTCATCCAACTCATTAGAAATTAACTATAAACTTATCACACCATTCAATTCATATGTGTAGTTCATTTTTACTTTTATTGATTTTCGTAAACGTTTCCTCGCATGATAGTGATATATCTTTATATTTTGAAGTCTCTTTCAATTATACTGAAAAGGAGGATTGCGTCTCAAAGGCATCAAATTGTCACTGACCACCATTTTGTCATATATATAGAGTTATAGACTCATAGTGGTCTCGTCGGTAATGATACTAAGATTCTATGTGCTTGGCTTGGTAATTTGGTAATTATTAGTATATATGTATGCTCATGAGAAAACATGATTAATGGAGATGTGAATAACAGTTTGTGACTTGAGAGGCATTAAACAAACTAAACGAATATAACTAAACGAGTAGGATGAGTTTTGAAGATATATTAATTACAACATCAGTATTATGAAACGACTGTGTGAATCACCAACTTAAAAGGAAAATATAATAAAAATTGATGCGTTTCTCAGAAGTACTTCATGCAAAAATGAACCACATATTGTTCATCAAAGATTCAAAATATATAATTTAAAGAAACGCAATTGGTGTACTTAATTAGTACCGTCATTAAACTGTCCTCGACAAATTTGGTGTATTTCAAGCATTTCTTTCGTTTTCATTGTTTTTTCTTAGACATTTTATTCATATTTTTCTAAATTATTTATGTCACTATAATTATATTTCTCATAGTGAGTTAGTTTATCTTTTTCTTTTGGGGTATCAAATTACTCAAACTTTTTGTCTCGTATTTAATATAGTAATTACAATTATATAGTATGTGTATGAACTATAATAAATAGTAAATGTTACGGTTCTCAAAAACCATTTTTATTCAGTCTTAAAAGTGAGATCCCCACAGCCTCATGTCTTCATGGCGTGGGTTTCTTATTTTGGCAACTCAAAAATAATGAAACAAAATAAAAATGATTTTCCCGTATTATGATTTATTGGTATTACATTCACGGTAGACAATTTAGTAATTCTTTTTCACTTATTTTGTAAACTAAAATTACATAACTAGGCTATTAAAAAAATTAATAATATGCGTCTCTATTGAAACCCATTCATGCACCCAAATATTTTGCCCTAAAAGAACTGTAACTACTTTAATTGACGTGGGGAATGTTATACTCTCAAAACTGGAAAAAAAGGATGGCGCCATCTGGAAAGGATTAATCAACGGACGAGAGATGGGGAGAGGGAGAAGTCATAGGTTGTTATAAACTCGGTATGTTATTTCTTCCTCGCATGATTGAATTTTAGTAAACTCAGATCAAGAACACACACAGAAAGAAAAAAAAAAAAAGAAAAACCAAAACCAAAAAGATGATGAAACGTTGATTTCCAAAAACTAAAAGAGAGAGAGAGAGAGGCAGAGAGCGGAGGTGGAGACTAGTTGCCTGAGACAAGTTACCGGAGAGTGGAGACCAGTTGCCTGAGAGGGAGGGAGAGAGCGGAGTGGGGGAAAGGCCGTCGACAACAAACAAACAAAAAATGGTAAGTTTAGGCCATATAATTTTTCTTTTTTATATTTTCAATGTTGTTCATGTATTTATTTTCTTGTATTATGTAGTACGGGCAAAATTGAATTAACTTTCTTAAAATATAATTTTATTTCATTGCAATATTTCAAATAATTAATCAACGATTTAAAAATATTTGAATGTCATTCTAACTGAGACTACAATGGTTAAAAATAATCTAATTAAATAATAGAATGCCATACTTACATATCATTCCATCTATGATTCATTCTTAAGTATAGATGTTTTGCTCTCTTTCGTTTCTGATTTTCATTATGCAATTTTCTTGATGAAACGTTTCCTAGGGATGTTGTTAGGTTCCTTGTCGTCTTTTCACACTCATTAGTTAGCCATGGACAATTTCTTCAAACATACAAAGGCTACATGAATTATAAAACAGAGTTTTTTAGAAGGTAATACATGAGAGGTAGAAAAAAAAAAAACCTTGATATATTTCATCGAGACTCCTTTTGTCTCCCTAATTTAAGATCTGGAAAAAATAAGTTAACCCTAATTAATTTTTCAGATCCAACAACACTTTTTGCATATTAGCAAGACTTGTTAAATATAAGTCATAATATAGAATAAGTAGAATAGAGTGACATTTAGAAGAATTGAATAGTCTAAAAGTGTAAAGAAATATGAAATGAATTACTCGATGCCAACATAGTAGTTTACTTCAGAGGAAAAAACGTTCCATGCCAACATAGAATATTTTGATTTGTGCTTTAGGAGAAATTTTACGTTTTTTTGTTTGTTTGCGTGTGGATCAATTGACATGCATGACAATAATATAAATGATAGAACATAGGTGAGATTGCTCGTAAATGGTGATCATATTGTAAAAATCTGAAATTTTAGGAAGTTGTTTATAACGTATTTATCTTTTATGTGTTTTTACTTTTTATTAATCTATTATGCTTTTTACTTTTCAAAATTAATTCTGTTAAATTATAAAACATTTGCCATGTTTCGTTCTAATTGGCCAAATGACTTCTGATTTATAAATTAAAAGGTAAAAATATTCGCTATATTTGAAACAAGAAACAAGATATTACAAATATATATATACAACCACATCAAGAAAGTGTATCTTATAGACTATAAAGCTAGTATCATGGACCGATGAATGTATAATTTGTGGTGAACACTTTGATTGGATGTACGTATAATTTGTGGTGAAGTCTTTAATTAGCTAACCCGGGTAATTTTTATATATATAGTATCTTCAGGTGATCCTCTTTGCACTCGCATTTGCTCAGGCTGCGAGCAATTATGCCCTCACCATTCAGGTAAATTATTAATTATATATTAATCTATGGTTGACTAATATGTAAATTAATTTTATTAACCAATAATTTCATCCAAGTTAGAAACATGAGATATTAGCTGTTGTAATTTGTAAATCCCAGTTAAAATCAAAATAAATAAACAACTATGTAACTGAACCAGAGCACTGTTATTAAACTCAAACCAAGCAACAAAAGATAAATTGATATAAAACCAGTCTTTAACAGAAGGCCTTTTAACCAAAAAAAAAAAAAAAACACAGTCTATAATATATTTTTTTTCCTACAAAGACTTTGATAGTTTTATATTTTGAATTTTTTCCAAACCTAATTGTCAAAATCAGCCTTCTGTAATTTTGAATCGTTATCATTTTCTGCGCATGGTTTTCTTGTCTATATTATATATTAACTCAGGAAATACACATTTTATGGAATTATAATGAAACCAAGAGACTAGTATTTGAGGTTTGGTTATTTCGGTTTAGTTTGGTTTGTTGTATGCGATTTGGGTCATGGCCTAAATTCGGAAACAACCATTGGATGTTATTGACCTTTTCAAATAATATTTGAGGGGTAGACCAAGTTCCGGCTAAAAACACCAGCTTAGGCCCAGTTTAAAACGAGCCCGTAAGAAAATGACTAGTTCGGCTAGCCCATGTTAGAAACCCATTGTTAAAACTTACTGTAGTAAAACCGATGGAAGGGGATATTATTACAGAGCGCAACTGCATGTTGTCATTTTTAAAAATTTTATTTATCCAATCGACTGATTTTTTTTCTAATTAACAGAGTTCAGACGGCGAAGATGTCGATTGCTTCGACAAAATGAAGCAACCAGCGTTTGACAATCCACTTTTAAAGAATCATAGGTTTCAGGTATTTTAATTTTTCGATAATTAAAAATAATTTTATTTTTTAATTTGCTTTATAAAACAACCGGAACTAACATTATTATTTTTAGATCGCAAGATTTTTTTTTTAGCTCGCAAGGTTTTGAAAAGTAAAAGAAAAGGCGACAAGGCGATAGCAAAGGCGACAAGGCGATAAGGTGGTTTCATTCTCGGCCCAGCTCCGACGTCTCCAACGGCGCCGGCTCCTCCGCGAGTCGGATTCCTGTTGCGCTTCCCTCCCCATGGGGAAGCAAAAGCGACTTCGCAAAGATCCTTCGGGGGGCTCCTCCTCCTCCAAAGGTGGCTCTTCCCCTGCTTCTTCCGCTTCCATTTCTTCGGGCTCCGGCCTCCCATCTTCCCCTTCGGTTCCTGTTACCACTCAAGATAAAGGCGTCCTCGTAGCGGTCTCCACGACAAGCTCGGCCGTCTCTCCATCTTCAGATCCGCGATCTGGTTCAGATCTGGAAAAATTAGGGCATGTCGAAGGGAAGCAAGTGGCTGTTTCAGCCCCTGCGCCTTCTCCGGTGATATCTCCTCCAACGGAAGCGATCCAGTCCCAGGACAAGGAACCTTCATCAATTTCTGCGCAAGCTGCTCCCGTCAAGGTCGATGCGGCGAACCCAGATTCCACAGACCATTGCTCCTCTGCTGCGATAGAGAGCTGGTGCGATATGTTCAAAGGAACTTCTAAGAGGCTTCAGAAGGCAGGGAAGGCATTCACCCTCCCATCTGGTGAAGCTTGTGTTAAGATTCCCGACTCGCTAATTGAAAAGCATCAAAAGTCTTGGGAGTCATTTATACTTGGTCAATTCTACTCGGATCCTCCTGCTCAAGGAACTATCCACACAATTGTTAATGGAATTTGGAGTAAGCAGTTTAAAGACATTTCGGTATCGAGAATGGAAGGAAACTCATTTCTATTTCGCATACCTAATGTGCAAACTCGCAATCGGGTCCTGAATCAACGTCTTTGGCAAATTGAAGGCCAAACGATGTTCGTTGCTAATTGGGAACCTGGCCTTACTCCTTCAAAGCCGGAACTCTCCTCTGCACCCATTTGGCTGGAACTTAGGAAGGTCCCTTTTCAGTTTTTTAATGACGATGGACTGCAGCGGATTGCAAGTTTGGTTGGTCATCCTCTGTATCTTCACCCGGATACCATGAATAAGCGGAACCTCGAGGTAGCAAAAGTCTTTACTATTATCGACCCTCGAAAGCCGCTACCTGAAGCTATCAATGCGCAATTTAGTTCGGGATTGATCGCTAGAGTGGAGGTGTCTAGTCCCTGGATGCCCCCAATTTGTTCTCACTGCAAAGAAGTGGGGCATAGCCTGCGAAGATGTCATTCAGCCCCAATCATGTGTAAACCTTGTAACTCGGCCTCTCACTCTCCAGATGACTGCCCTCGCTCCAAAGCCAAATCTCTTCCTCCTCCCTCTAAGCCTATTCCGGATAAGGTGAAAGCTCGGAGACGAAGATCAAAAACTCCTAAACCGGTCCCTAAAGAAGGCGAATGGGTGGTTGTTGGCAGTAGGGCCAAGGCCTTATCCCTCGATCCAGCCAAGTCTTCACAGGCAGTAGCCAATTCTAGTAAAGGGCGGGAGGTTGCTTCTTCTTCCAATCTCCCGGATGGGTCGAAGCCCCCCGATAAAGGCAAGGCTACTCAAGTGGTCCACGATAAATC